ATATATTAATATTATTAAAGATATATATGATGATGTAGTTACTAGTATCAAAACTATAAAAAGTATGTTTAGTAAGTTATCTATTATTATAATATTATATCAAAAATTCACGTTAAGTTTAATTTTTTTTATATTAATAATGGATGAACTTATGAGTCATTTACAATATAGACTTATATAGTATATGTTATTTATTGATTATATTATTTTAATTGATGCAAGCTTAAGTGAAATTAATTATAAAATTATATCAAGGATTACTTAATTATAAAATTAAGTTATGATATTATATTAATTATAATATTACACTAAGCATTCATGTTGAATCTATGTTTTTAAATAACTTGCAAGTTATTTACAAGATAGACTTCTCTAGTATATATTATTCGTTGATAATATTATATTAATTGATAAGAGTCTTAGCAAAATTAATTATAAATTTGAGTTACGAAGATTATCTTCAAAAATTAAAGGTTTTAGATTAAGTAAAACTAATTAATAAAACTAAATTTTAATATATAGACAAAAAATATATAGTTGAGTTGGATTAGTAAAAACTTTATTTAAGTAAAAAAATTTTGTATCCTATATCAAATATTTAATATGATAGAAAGATTGATAAATATATTATTCATGGAGTAAAAACATTATGATTAAAATGACGAAATGTTACAAGTCTTATATAATAATAAGATACTTTTAAGATTAGAATATAAAATTTATAAAATTATTGTAAAATTATTGTTTTATAATTTTGAGTATTTAACAATTAAAAAATAACATATATATATATATTTATGTTGTTAGGATGGAAGAATATCGAGATGAAAAAGATATAAATATATATATATATTCATAAATATATACATGAAGTTACTAGAAATTATATGAAAATAAATATATATTTTCATAAATAACTGTATATTACTAAAGAATTACGATAAGAGAGGATCATTTAAATTTTAAAATAATTTAATACCGGTGATAAGAGAAGAAATAAAAAATATCTAAAAAAAACTATATGTTGAATCTCATATTTTGATTATGAAACCAATTGATAAGTGTTTATGATTTGATCTGCATTTTGAGTGACGCAGGATGCTTCGATCAAGGAGAGATAATTAAAGCGGGAATAACCATATTGGGCCGGAGGAAAACATATCAGAAGATTGGATGTCGGGTCGAAGGATCGGTCAACGTATTGACAGAATGCTTCAGGCCAAGAAGAGCGGATATTGCGCCAAGGATATCGGAGTTGCGGAGTCAACTGGCCGATTGGGCAATAGGCTGCAAGAGATGACGATGCGCTGAAGAATCGAACGAAGCGTCGATGGACCAATGATATGCTGGACAACATGATTCAAGCTTAGTAATAATTGTCTAGATCAAAGTGTGTTTTTACATGTGCAGGATTAACTACGATAGCAATGCATAAAGCAAAATGAAGTCCCGGAGTCAAGAACGCGATTTCGTTGGAAGTTCAAGAGTTCGTCGGAAGTTATGTCGAAACCAACCGAGAAGTCTAGGAACTTGCCGGGAGTCCACTGGAACATTGCCGAGAGATCGTCGGAAATTTGTCGGAAAATCGTCGGAAGCTCGCTGGAAGAAACTAGACTTACGAACTTATTTAGCTTAGGAAATGTCGTAGAATTCGTAGTTAGCACACAATTAGGATTAGAATTGGGCCAACCCAATTAGGGCAAGTTGGACCCCATGTAAGAACTGTGTTGGGCCCAATGAAAAGGCCCAAACAGTGACCGATCAGGTAAAATCGTCGTGGCACAGCCTCCGAGATTGTGTCAGGTGGTGGTACCACCCAGACCCAGTCTCCGAGACTGTCTAGGCGATAGTACCGCCCAGTGCAGGCGATGGTACCGCCCAGTGCAGGCGATAGTACCGCCCGTGCCTTGAAATTTAGAGGGTTTGAATTTTAGGCTCCAATTTTGAATCCATTTGAGGCCTATAAATACCCGAGCTATTCCTATATGGATAAGTAAGAAATATTGAGCAAAACCATGTGATTCTAAAGTTGTAAATCTTAGAAAGTTGAGTTTCCTCCTCCTAAAGCTTAGAGAGAGTTCTAAGAGAGATGTGAGAGGGATATCTTGTAAAAGAGGGTTGTAAAATATTATCTCCTAAACCTGTAAAAAGAAGAAGAGGGGTGTAAAAGGGTAGTTGGTCTTCGCCTATTGAAAGAAGATCGATAGTGGGTGCCAATGACCTCGACGGAAGAGGAATCGACGAAATGGATATAGGTCACGACGACCGAATCACTATAAAAATCTGATTTACGTTTCTCTTATGCAATTTACTTTCATACAAACCACTTTACTTGTTTTACATCCACTACGCTCTTCCGTACGCTTTCAAAGTTAATACATTTACGAAACGATTTTTCGAAATGGATTTAATCACAATGAAGTTTTGAACCGACGTAATTTTTACCAGTGCACTAATTCACCCCCCTCTTAATGCTAACTTTTTTTCTAACACTATATAGATATTATATATAAAGACTTAAATAATGAAACTTAACTAAACATATAATTATTTTAAATAAATTTTAATAGCAACAAAAAGATTCATATAATCGATTTTAAATAGTTGAGATTTATGATTTTATTATTGTCACTGTGATTGTTATTGAATTTTTATCAATCATGTGATTGTCTTACAATAAAATTTTTAAAGTAAAAAATTTAATATCCAAATTAATCTCCTCGAGTTTTTAAGCAGCGAGGGGTTTCTTACGGATTTGTTTTGTTTCCGGATGAAATAAATCAATATATTATTTTTTCAATAGAAAAAAAGGTGGCCGGATCCATGGACAAAGTGCTTTAGATGTCTACCACTGGGGAAGCATCGGTCGAGTAGACATTCAGTTCAGCCCCATTCGGCTCGGCTCGTTTTGTTTTCTTTTTCCCCTCTGTACAAGTATTCTGCGGCAACCGCAATCGAACCGGGTGAGATAAGCCCTAACGCGGTCTTCCGCATGGGCATTTAGTGGGTGGTTGAAAGGGCTAGTCCCTACCCGGTCATCGGCATCGGCGGAGGGGATAGTTGGTGTTAGCTTTTGCCTTCGCGACGAGGCAGTCTCTTTTCCTTTTCCCCTTCCGTTTATCGTGGGATTCAAAGGCGAAAGTGGGAAGTGGATTTTAGGGTTTCTTCTCGATGGCATCCGATCTCCATCTCGACGATGTGACCGCTCTCTTCCTTTCCTTCTCGTTGTCCTTGTTGGCTTATTGGAGCTAATTAAGTTTCTGTTATTCCCTTTCGTTTTCGGCATTCAGGAGGATGACTTCGGAGGAGATGTTCCTGGAAGCCAAAGTAGTGCTAAACGTTCAGGTTTCAATTTTTTTTTTTCTTTCGGTCTTCTGAGTCATCCTTTTACGTGATCGACTGATTTGTCTGGTTTTATTGATGACTTATATGCCCCGTTACATGGTATGCTCGCAGGTGGTAAGAGGACTTTTGGAGATCTCGACGAAGAAGAGGATGATGTCTTCGGCCCTAAGAAGGTAACTGTAATGGCATCCCCTTTTGGCCAATCCGAATGCTCCTATTCTTTCTTTTTCAAATTTGACTTAACCTTAATTGTATTCCCGTCACAAATGAAAAGGTATTTGGATTTTATGGCTTTAAGAAATTGACATGTCAAGGATAAGTGCTTTAGCTTATAATCAATAGCATCGTAAACAATGAAACCGACCTTTTTTTCACTGACTTATTGGTACATTCCATGCCAAGAAAGGGTTCAAATAACCTTCTTGATTCAATTCTGACTTGGTTCTTCGTACTGCACTGGTCTTTTCTAACTAGGATGATCTTACAAGAATCCCGTAATTGTCTTTGTCATCCTCCAGCATTTTGTCCAGCAAGCTATTTTGGTTGAATTTTCCCCTTGACCAGCGATTTAAAAACCAGCTTAGAAGAGACGTTTGAAATATTGGAAGCAATTTGTGTATGAAAGAATTTTTTTTTGATGCACCATGTGGATCAGTTCTCGAGATTTCTGTGAAATTTGTTATTTGGAGAATCAGCTGAAGGGTTAAGGGTTGTTGTTAGGGCTTTCGGCTTTGTTGTTGTCGTTGAACCAGCTGAAAGGATTGCAAACAACATAATAGAGGCTATAGGGTATCAACAAGTTAGCACTTAAAAAACTAACGTGATACATCTGTGTGTTCAAGTTGTGGATGGTGTCTAGTCTAAGAATAATTCGTTTGAATGCTCTGCAAATCCACATATTGTAACACGTGGACACCAAATTGGTTGTTATCATTACTTGTTTGATAAATATTATACTGTAATATGCCTCATCAATATTATTCTATTCTTAATATATTTGCAAACTACTTAGTGCACTATTGGCTGAAGCATTTTCTCTTACGTGTTGCAGACACACCCACAATGTTTCCTTTCAAACTTGATGTGACAGGTCTTTGTGTCATTGATCAATGAAGATTGTGTTACTTGTCTTTTTTTTCTCTTTCTGTACTTATTATATGCTCATCTGTGATTATCATAAATACCTTAGAAGAATCCAACACTTCAGCCCACACTGTTATGCCGAAAATAAGGAAAAAAAAAAGTGTAAAGACAGACTGGTAGCACTGAATTTCTTTCTTCACAATGCAGGGAAAGCCAAAAGTTGAAGAAAGTGGACCTGGTATGACCACTGGAATGATTTTGTCTTTGCGTGAAAGGTACAATTAAAAACAATACCTGCTGTTGTTTTCTCATGATAGTTCCATCACTCTTTTAATTTGATACTTTATTAGCTTGCAGAACTGTAAAGATAATCTTGCAACATGCCAGGTACGTTATTGTATGCAGACAAGAAGAGACACTTTGGTCTTATAGTTTCTTACATAACTTTCCTGTAGTGGAAATAAATTTCCATGCTTCATTTTGTTGTCATTTGTCTCATTTAAACCATGCATTAGGTATCTTCTATTGGTTTATCTTGTTGATCATCGTATAAGAAATTTCAACTAACTAGATTCCAAGAATTTTCTTGGTTGTGTATGTTTAGGGCATCAATTTTTCATTCAGCTATATGCTAGATTTCTCCATGAGTTCAGTTTTAACTTCCAATCTGAATTCTACTAATAAGTGAATTTAAAACTGAATCTTATGCTATAGTCCATAATGTGTACTAGGATTTATGGTTGGCCTAATTTGGTTCTGAACAGAGTAAATATTATATGGTTTGTTTTATCTAACCACATGGTTTACTAAAATTAGGTGATATGCTAACTACACAGTTTATTTTGTGTATGAAGGGATGGTATTTGGTCTATTGAGATATTTATCATCAGAAGATAATATTTAATAAAATGGTAAACATTTGGCCAACACTAGATATTTGTCTCAGTGAGCATTCTTGGAAATTATTTTGCATTATCAGGAAGAGCTAGAAGCTGCTAAATCAGAGATTCAAAAGTGGCATTCTGCATTTCAGAATGGACCAGCTACACCTGCAGGCACATCTCCAGGTTTGTATCTTCTTCATAATAAGTTTGTTCCTTGGGTTAAGAATTAAGATATTGAGACTCCATCTTGGTTTTGTAAATGTAGAGCCTGGGTTGGTGCTAACTTATCTCCAGAATTTGAAGTCCTCTGAGGAGTCTTTAAAAGAGCAGGTTGGTTGAATGTTTCCTTTTACATGCATAAGCCCAACAAAAGAATCTTCTTGCACTACCACTACTGATGCCATCTATTGCTTCCAGCTAGAGAAAGCCAAGAAAAAAGAGGCTGCATTCATAGTTACTTTTGCAAAAAAAGAGCAGGAAATTGCTGATCTCAAGGTAACTCTGTTTCTTCTATATTCTATGTTGTAACAATGAGCTTCAATTGTATTAATGTAGTTTCATTTTTACGCTGTTATATGCTACTGATAATACATAAAACCAATCAAGTGATTATTTGGTGAACCCATCAGCAGATTTTCTTAGCTGCTGCAGTAAGCTTTATTGTTATGCTAGATCTTCTTTACCTCTACTTCCCCCATAGTGTAACGTTTATTAGCTTTCACCTGTTACTACTCGTTGGAAAAATAACAATAATGCATGTATGATATTTTGGAACACATTTCCTTTATGACATGGAATACCACGTAAGGATCAGGTAATATCTCATCAATTCCTCTTTATCTGTCGCTAGACATCAAAGATCAATCAAGTGCTTCATGCACAAAATCATTCCTGTTGTTCGAGGAAGAGAGTAAATTTTACGGTTATAAGCATCTGCAGGGAACTACATAACTTTTGTTTGCTACTTCAATTGGAAGAAAACTTTGATATTTGTAAATTTTTTCTATGTTTGAATCTCGGCTTGCTATATGGCTGAAAATAATCTTTATAACCGACCCCAAATATGGGGACAATTATGGCTTCTTATTGTTTGTTCCTTTCTCACTGTGTTTATTATTATCTCTTTCTGCTTACAAGACAATTTTAACTGGAAATTTCTGGATCAGCTTTTGCATGTCTCATATGGGACTCTAGCTAGTTGTTCACTTTGTTCATATTATGTTTCTTATTTTCAGAAATAACTTAACATATTTTTGTTTATCTTGAAGTATCATCCTCCAAGACTGTCTTTCGATGCTATATGAAATTATTGCATAAAAAGAAGAAAAATAGGTGTTACTTGGTTATTCCACATAATATCTGTTAACTTGTGTAGTTGTAAAAACTATTAATGGCACCTCCTTTGTGGTATTCTTGAACTGTCTAGTTTATTGTCTTGGGGTGAAGGTTTTTGCACTCAACCTGATCTTCTGAATCATTTTTTTAATTCTAAATATCTAGTCTGCAGTTCGAGACTTGAAGACACAGTTAAGGCCACCATCGATGCAGGTATGAGTGCCAAGTTTTTCCTTTTTACTAATGTTTACCTGAATGGTTCACCTATAAATTGAAATACCTATTGGTCTTGGATTGAAAGACACTGAAGATGTCTGAATGCACTGCTCTCAGATTGTAATCTGAATGAAAGAGCAACCTGTCACTGACGTCAACTCATTGATATAGAATCACTAAGATTGGATGCTTTAGTAAGAGAATGTAATTCCATTAAATGTTGTTACATAACTGAACCTTGGGATATTCAATAACATTTAATATTGAAGTCCACCATAATATAAGTTTGAATCAAGTATAACTTTAGGTTGGTTTAGTTTGTAGGTGGTTAGAGATGTGGATAAGGACCTGTAATGCATTCCAAAGTTTGTCAAACTAACAGGTTTGTGCAGCGATGGGCTTGTGATGTCTAACTATCACAGAATATTCTTTTCGACTTCTATGATGAGAACTACATTCCAGATTTTAGTCATTTGGTGACCTTAAAAACCTTACTTCACAACTGGTTATATATTACTGCACAGTTGAAGATGGATTAAGAAAACATCTATGATGTACTCATTTCAAGAAACACAAGATTCTAGCAACTACATTTAGTAGCATTGTCCAGAGTCACCTTACTGACAGATCGAGTTCTATACATTTTTTTAGCATCTTATGAAAACTGAAGTGTGTAAACAGTGATCCATGTTTGTTTGGACTTTGGAGAATGTACTCATGACTGGAGTTTATATGGAAGCGAGCAATTTCAGCTGTTTGGCTACTGGAAGTATGGTCAATATCAGGAACTTTAGTTCTCGAACTTGACTTTGTCTGTTTCTATAAATGGGAAGACCAAGTAGATTTAGCTGGTACATGAAGATCAAGCAATTTGGCTGAAATCAATGTCAAAAAATAATATCGTCCCTTTGCCAGATTGTGGGAAAGAGTGAGAAATGAGGATGAATTTACAGTAAGGTAAAACAATTTTAACGAGGAGAGATTTTGAGTAATTTGCAAGAATGAGACTATAGCTCTGATCATTCTTGTCCTCCAACAACCAACAATAATAGTAGACATTTAAGAATGTAGTGCATCCTATGTTCTTAAAAGAGACTCATCTTCACAAGGTATATTTTTAGATCAGTTAACGACAAAATGTAACTCCTTTAAGTACTTTGGACACATATGCTTTGCCGATTTCATCCTCTTTCTTTTTGTGACTTTAGTTCATTGTACTTATGTGTCTTAATTCTTGTTTTATTTGGTTATGAAAATATTATTTCTTGCATCTAAATATTTTTTTGCTGGGCTTGGGAAAATCTCTTGTTTCCAGTACACGTTGATGTTCCCTGTTGGGCTAGTTGTTAAAGCAGTCATGAGCTCTTCATTTTATGTGTCATCAGCTTAGAAGTTGGTTCACTTTGCAAATGTTTATTATTATGGTATTTTGTGTTATGTTCTTTAACAGACAAGGAAGTTGCTACTTGATCCAGCCATTCATGAAGAGTTCACACGGTTGAAGGTGTGTAACAATTATTTTTTTCAGCTGCTTTTTTCTGTTTTATGATACTAGATGTTAGATCATTTTCTTCTTGATATATTCCCACCACCATGTTGTTTGTTTTCTTGCTTTTAATTTTTCTTATCAATATTGATCTTTTTTTTGTTGGATCAATGGTTTTGCAAATACCCAATTTATCTTATAAGCTTAATATCTTTTATTGGTCTATCATACTTATGTTGCTTTACGTATCAGAATTTGGTTGAAGAGAAGGAGAAGAAAATTAAAGAATTGCAAGACAATCTTGCTGCGGTCAATTTTACTGCATCCAGCAAGCTTGGAAAAATGCTAATGGCAAAGTGTAGAACATTGCAAGAGGAGAATGAGGAGATTGGAGCGATGGCATCAGAGGGAAAAGTAATGCAATCTTGCTTTATGTTACCTAACATGCTATACATGACATTTGACACAAATTGTTGTGCAACTGCATCAACCTTTACAATATTGATATGTCCATATTTAGTCCTACATCGGTTGGAGATTTGGAGAGGCAATGTCTAAAAAAAGCCAAGGGTGACTCATCTCCTATAGGTGCGTTTTGTGATCCACCTAAAAGGCCAAAACTGTGCAAGGTCCACTCTAAAGTGGACAATTTTCTTATGGCTCAAAGAGATTGCACTAGTGAAGACTATTGTAAATCTTCTCAGATGGTACTCATTGTGTGGTCCTAAGAGGTCTTAGGTAAACTAGAGGTCTCATTTATTTCCATATTGATTGGAGAGCCCAGTCTTAACAAAGAGCCAGAGGGGCCCGCCTAGAGCGGACAATTGCTTGCTGCTTAGAGAGCTTACGGCTGAAGTCTAGTGTGGACCATATTATCAAATAGCGAAAGGGATAGAGTGAGAAATCTCATGTTACTTGCCTTACCAACTACCATTGTTTAGCTTTGCAAGGTAGATGCAAGCCATGATAAAGATATTTTAGGTACTAAGGGCTTCATTATTTTTCTGACTGGTCTTTAATGAAACTTCTAGTTGTATTTGTTATATCTCTTACTGAAGAACGATGCCATTCTTGTATTTTCTAGAATCAATTCACACAAATCAATATTTATGCAGTGAGTGTGTGTTAGTGATGTTTCTGACCTGATACTAATTGCTGATTCTTAATTTATAGATCCATGAATTGGGAATGAAGATCGTGGTGCTAAAATCTCAAAATGCAGAACTCAGGAACCAATTTGATGGTGAGTATCTGAATCCACTCCAATTCGTGATGCTTTCTAATTGTGCATATTTTTTAATATCTATTCTTTAAAGATTATCAATACTCAGTTTCCTCTTTTATCTGTCTTTAAGATGCTTCTTTTTTTTTTGCTTTTCATTTTTGCATTAGCACAGGGTATGTTTGTTTTATTATTTTTCATCTCATCAGTCAACTGAGTCTGCTGCTTTTTTCCCCTGTACTGCCCTTGCTTTTCTTCTCTAATGTGTTTTCCAGTTGGCGCTGGTGCAAATCACATAATGCAGGTTCTATACCAAATGTGTGCTATGAGATGTGTGCCACTTTAGAGCCAATTGATATCAGTAATGTGCCCTGGAACATGACTAGGCACATTCCAGCAAGTTGCATAACATAACTTTGACTGCCACAAGTATTGACGTGGCACGTTCCAATGATCCCTCTTACTCTCTGTACTATTGTCATAACTTTTCTTTCAGAGGGTATGTTCAATTTTAGAAGGCTCTACAGATCTTGATATATTAGCCAAGTATTATATATATGTCAGCGATAAACCATTTTCTTGCTGGTGATTCTGTTGTAACCTGTCTTTATTATCCCATGTTCTCAAAACCATTTAACAAGCATTATGCATCATTCTTCGCCACTAATTTCTGTAGATAATGCCCTTTCACTGTGAGTTTATAATTATCATGACTGGAATTTTTTTTTTTGCTTAAGAAATTGTTATTGACTACTGTTCACTCATGACTATCAAAGTTATTTTCTCTGCTCTGTTTCCTTAATTTTGTTCAGGTATTCTTGATATTTTATATCTTGTCTCATGCAGCATTGTACAAGCACATGGAAGGACTAACAAATGAAATGGAGAGATCAAATGAAATGGTAATGTGTTTTCTAGTATTCTAAAAAATTGCTTTTCAAAATGGTAGTTGAAACATCTGAGAACTGTGACAGATGTGTTCAACTTGTAACACTTTGGTTTTACTTGTATACTATGCATATTCAACCATAAACATGAGATGCTGTGCTTTGTTTCTATAATGTTTTCACTATATGACAGAATCTCTTTCATTTCTGAGATTTTCAAAAACAAGTTGTGTCAACTTGGGGATCTCTGACAAATATACATGGGATAATTATTTCCAGATAAGCATTTTGCTTTAGAAGATATAAATTTTGTTAGATTGCCTTGTCTCACTACAAGGTTTGCCTGATTGGATGCCATATTGCAAGAAAAACTTGTCTTAAAAGGGTTTCAGATTCTTAATCAATTTCTTCCAATGGTATATTGCTAATTTATTTTCTTGAGAAAGCTCGTTCAGCACCACAAGCGTAACAATATTCTGTTGTAAATGAGATTAGCTGTTTTCTATTGCTAATTTAAGAGAAAAAGTTTCGCCCTTACACAAGGGTGAGAAAAGCTCCAGGAGATGGCTCTGTTTAAGGCTTTTGTGTTGGAAGTAAATATTTACATCTTGAGTTGGCTTTTTGGGCAGTTGCACTTGGTATATCCTTGGTGTTGTTGAACAGAGAAATTACTTATACAAATCAATTAATGTACCATTTCATTATATATTTCTGGCTTCAAACATGTTAATGTCTGTTTATCTGAGCCCAAGCTGGATTGATTAACCATCATATAAGAAAGATATTGTGTGTACTTTTGCTCGTACTACTTTGTGGACCGTTCCACATTTGATCTTCAGTCAAATTGACTAATATCTCTGGTCACTTGATCTTAAGATACTTATTAATCTGCCTACCATGGTTTGCGTGCATTTCAGGTCTATATATTACAAGAGAGGCTAGAAGCAAAGGACTGTGAGCTAAGAAACTTGAAGGAGTTATTAACCCAGAAAGAAGCAGCTGAGGAAAGAGATGACGATGATGGTGACAAGGAAGAAGCCAATGAAGGAAATTCTGCTGATGTTGAGGCATGAGATTTTGGAGGGGAAAATTTTCAAGAATTTCTGCGGATGTTGATGCTTCAGATTTTGAACTTTTTATTTTTCCATATGAAAGGTTGGGAGCGGGTCAGCTGTAGCTGTAACCATGTTAGACTCCGAAGCTGGTAACCATGATATTTCTGGCTCTGTTGCTAAAATGATCATCCTGGTTCTATGAGTGTATTGTTTATCGATTACGGTCCTTCTAAGGATGCCATGAGGACCCTTTGAAAGGATTTCTTGAAATCCATGAGTGGTGGCTTCTTCTCTCAAGTTGGATTTCTCTGATATGGTAGTGTTGTTATGTGTAGATAGAACCCTGGTGTCTAACGGATTTATGGGAAATCCAACAGCGGTTTGTATTGCTGGTTGGTGTCGTTGTTGATCTCTGATGATGTCAGTTAAGGGGGTGGTCTGCAAGCAGCAAAAGATGCCAGAATAAGCCCAAAGTTGTTTCTGCTGTCTCTTGCTCGAACTTGCATGGCCCTGGGACGAAGTTGCACATAAGTCAGCGCAGTGGACTGGCTATAAACAAGTCCATCAAGATGACGGGTCCGCTGATCCGGGAATCAGGATGTCGGCCGAGAGAGAGAGAGAGAGAGAGAGATCAGCCCAATGGCCTATAAACAAGTCATTTGGATGACAGGTCCGGTGCACCGGGGATCAGGATGTCGGCCGAGAGAGAGGGAGTGAGAGCAGGACCAAGGCGATAAGCAACAGCCGTGATATGCCGTTGGCGTCCACAGACCAGACTCTGGCGTCGGTCCAATCCGATACGCTTTCTTCGCCGCGCTCCCAGATGATTCTGAGCGCAGAGAGAAAGGTCGCTGCGTGGGAACCACCTCCCTCATCCCGCATGAGGACGACCACGTCGTGTGGCGGTGGATTGCAAGGTGGAAGTTATCACGCGCTCCTCTTTTTGCCCTTTTTGACCAAACGTCGTCTGCTGATTCCTTCGCCGGAGGGTCTTCTAGCAGCTTCCTCGTTCGTGGCGCAAGGACAAAGGGGTCCAGCGAGAGCGGGACGGGTGTAGAAGGGTGTAGAGGCCAGCAAACAAGGGGAGGGAGGGAAGAAGCAACGAGCCAAGCGTTAATGAACTCATCAATCAACCACGTGTCCCAACAAACGATTAATAAAAATGGGTCGTCCAAAGCTTGACCGAATGGTGTCATGAGATCGCTCGAGGACTGAACATTCGGAGGAGCTCGACACGTTAGATAACAACTTACTTTTGACTTTTCCGATTTGGCTCGCTATCCGTTCTATTTGGGAAATGCTGCAGTCGTCAACATTTCCGTTCCGTCGGTACCGTCCAAAGCTGGACATGGATGGGGCTATCGAGGAGGTGACTTGAATCGGTAAGCCCAGGCCACAGCCAAGGAGGTGAATTGACTCAGTAAGCAGAAGCAACGGCGTAGAATAGCATCCGCCTATGGCGCGAGTCCCCCATCGAGAAGGGAAGCTCCCGGACGAAAAGGGTGTGTTTTCCTTCAATGCTCAATTTAAGGGAATGGGACGTCGTCTCCCCTGCTTCCTCCGTCTGGTTTAGTTCCATCGAGCTGAAAGGGAATGGGACTGTCTCCCTCAGTTTAGGTTCCATCGTATGACTATAATCCGAGAAAATATAAAACATTCGGGGAAAAAAAAGACAAAATATTTTATTCATTCGTATGACTATCTAACGACGGCCTACGTGGCCTAGAACATGTGTATAAAAATATACACACAACCGTCGATCTGCGCATGTTACTGTTTGTGCCAGGATGGCCAACGGTGGCCCAGGATGAGACAGCCACGTCAATATAATGTGATGTGAGTGGTGAAGAGATGAAGCATATCCAAATACATGGAAAAGTCTGCTGCAACCAACACGCAAACCGCTGGTCTACCGTCCGCCCGCCACCAGGGAGCAGATGCGGATGAGGAGTCGAGAGATATATTAAGGTAATATATATTTATATATATATTTGAGTGAGAGATATATTGAAATCGATCATGATAATTGATCTCAAATCATAAATTAACTGATAATTAAGGAATATAAAGTTATTATTCTATATTTATCCGATCCTCCATGAAGGAGGAGGTCGGGCCTCGTCTCCCTTTATAAATTGGCCATTGCAGCTCCCAGACTTTGCATTAAGCGGCAGCTAGAAACCTAGTACACCTCTCTCCTGCGTCAACCGAACACACCTTCGCTATGGCCCCAGACCTGGGTAAAGCCGGCTCCACCGACATTCTCACCGGGCTCCAAGGCGACTCCCGGTCATCTGCTTTCGCACTCAAAGGCCGCAACCTCACCGTATGCGGCCACCAATTCCTTCTGGATGTCCCTCCCAACATCGTCCTCAGCCCGTCCTCCACCACTTGCGAGGGCAAGGACCAGGGCCAGAGCCAGGGAGCGGGCGACGAAAGCGGATGCTTCGTGGGGTTCGCGAGCGACACCCCCGAGAGCAGGCATGTCGTGCCGCTGGGCCGCCTGCTAGGCATTCGGTTCATGAGCATCTTCCGGTTCAAGGTGTGGTGGACAACCCATTGGGTGGGCAACAGGGGCAGCGACGTGGAGCACGAGACCCAGATCCTGATGCTCGACCACTCCCGACAGTCCGGTCGTCCCTATGTGCTCCTCCTCCCCCTCATCGAGGGGGCCTTCCGGGCATCCCTCCAGCCTGGGGAGGAGGAGTACGTGGACTTGTGCGTGGAGAGCGGGTCCACGCGGGTGAGGAGTTCCGAGTTCCGGAGCTCCCTCTACATGCACGCTGGAGACGACCCCTTCGCGCTCGTCAAGGACGCCGTGAGGGTGGTGAGGTCCCACTCGGGCACTTTCAAGCTCCTGGAGGAGAAGACGCCACCGGGCATCGTCGACAAGTTCGGGTGGTGTACCTGGGACGCCTTCTACCTGAAGGTGCACCCGGAGGGCGTGTGGGAGGGGGTGAAGGGCCTGGCGGAGGGCGGTTGCCCCCCGGGGCTCGTCCTCATCGACGACGGCTGGCAGTCCATCTCCCACGACGACGACCCCACGGATGAGGAAGGCATGAATCGGACGTCCGCGGGGGAGCAAATGCCCTGCAGGCTGATCAGGTTCCAGGAGAACTACAAGTTCCGAAACTACAAGAGCAAGAGGACCGACTCCGCCTCCGACACCGGCATGGGGGCGTTCGTGAGGGACCTGAAGGCCGCCTTCGGGAGCGTGGAGCACGTGTACGTGTGGCACGCGCTGTGCGGCTACTGGGGAGGGCTGAGGCCGCGGACGCCGGGGCTGCCACCGGCCGAGGTGGTGAAGCCGAGGCTGTCCCCGGGTCTGCAGATGACGATGGAGGACCTGGCGGTGGACAAAATCGTTAACAACGGTGTGGGGCTGGTGCGGCCAGAGAGCGCCGCAGAGCTCTTCGAGGGGCTGCACTCCCACCTGGAGTCGGTGGGCATCGACGGCGTGAAGGTGGACGTCATTCATGTGAGTAGTAGTAGTAGTCGTCGTCGTCGTCGTTTCCCTAACACTTCAATTCCCAGATAAACAATCCGACCTGCACAGAGGTTTCATCAATTCCTTGGATTTTTGGTTCCATCAGCATAAGAAAATTAACAAATCACTTGTGAGAAGAGATATGACCGCCTCAAGAGTAAGTGGGGTGGGTGATGTGATTTGATCAACTCACACGGCACCGTCCTTTTTCTTTCGGACATACAAAGCTCTGTAGCATCTTAAAACCTGGATGACGATGACGATGAGGACGATGATGTGACATATATCGTGCAGTTACTGGAGATGCTCTGCGAGGATTACGGCGGGCGAGTGGAGCTGGCCAAGGCCTACTACCAAGGGCTCACCGACTCGGTGAAGAAGCACTTGGGAGGCAACGGCGTCATCGCCAGCATGGAGCACTGCAACGATTTCATGTTCCTCGGCACCCACTCCGTCTGCCTCGGCCGAGTCGGTACGTGCGCGCGCGTGATAGATCAAGTTCTATGGGCCTTGCTTTCTCATATGCTGCTGCTGCTGAAGAAGATGATGATATCCGTCTGTCTTCTCCATCTGCAAGTCTAATCTTACGCTTGAATGAATGCGTGCGTGCGTGCAGGGGATGACTTCTGGTGCACCGACCCGTCGGGCGACCCCAACGGCACCTTCTGGCTGCAGGGGTGCCACATGGTGCACTGCGCCTACAACAGCCTGTGGATGGGCAACTTCATCCACCCCGACTGGGACATGTTCCAGTCCACCCACCCCTGCGCTGCCTACCATGCCGCCTCCCGCGCCATTTCCGGCGGCCCCATCTACGTCAGCGACTCCGTCGGACACCACGACTTTGACCTCCTCAAGCGCATGGCCTTGCCCGACGGCACCATCCTGCGCTGCGACCACTACGCTCTCCCGACCAGGGATTGCCTCTTCGAGGACCCGCTGCACGACGGCAAGACCGTGCTCAAGATCTGGAACTTGAACAAGGTCGCTCTCTCTCTCTCTCTCTCTCTCTCTCTCTCTCTCTCTCTCTCTCTCTCTATCTATATCCCGGCTCGCCTCATCACCAAAAGACGATCTTTTTGCTCCCGGACTGATCCTTTTTTCCACTTTTCGGCTTTAGTTCACCGGCGTCCTTGGAGCCTTCAATTGCCAAGGCGGGGGATGGTGCCGCAAAGCCCGGAGGAACAAATCTGCAGCCGAGTTTTCACGCACCTTAACGGTGACGACAAGCCCGATGGACATCGAGTGGCAGAACGGAAAGAAGCCGTTCCCGGTGGAGGGGGTGGAATTGTTTGCGGTGTATCTGTCGCGAGCTGGGAAGCTAATGCTGCTTAAGCCGACAGAGACGGTGGAGGTCACCCTGGATCCATTCGGGTATGAGCTGCTCACAGTGTCTCCGGTGAAGGCGCTACCGTCCAAGAAAGCCGTCTGGTTTGCTCCCATCGGGCTGGTGAACATGTTGAATTCGGGTGGCGCCATCCAGGCGCTCCAAGTGGAGGGTTCCAAGGTGAAGATGGAGGTGAAGGGAGCGGGTGAAATAAAGGCCTTCGCATCGGCGAGGCCCGTCGAATGCCGGATAAACGGAGAGGAAGCAGGGTTTGTGTACAAGGAGAACATGGTGGACTTGCAGGTTCCATGGTCGGGATCGTCCTCTAAGATGTGTCTCATCGATTACACCTTCTAGTTTGCTGGTCAGTGACAGGCCGCTGATCCTGTGTAAATAATGATACAACTCTTTTTCTTCCTCCCTCTGTTCTTCTAACTTCTCCTGTATCGATCATGATTCCAAGTAGTAGAAGGCCAATGATATGACTCTTTTTCTTCCTCTGTTTTACTAACTTCTCCTGTGCAGATTATGATTCAACTTATAGAAGGCCAATGATACAACTCATTTTCTTCCTTTGTTTTGCTAACTTCTTCTGATTATTTCTGCCTGTATAAATCATGCGTCTCATCGCACCTTCCGGCTTTGGACTCTTCTACAGTGACGATGGGAACGAAAAGTCACGTAAACCAGAGAAAATTTATTATAAGAATAATCAGAGTCTCTTAGAGAATAACAGATACAAAGATTACGTGCATAATATCTAAAATCTTCGTAAGTATCCTGTTGGTGTAAACAACTTCTTAGCCGTGGCCTCGGGGCCGACGTGGCTCGGTTCGGGTCCGGATGACGGGTCGTCGTTTCCTTCAGGAAGGGGCTCCTTGCCGACGTGTCTGGAGAAGGGTGCTTCGCCTTCGTCCCTGCACGCAGGTTGGGTCGGGATGCTCGACCCGACCCCTCTGATGGTTAAGTTAGACGTTGATCGCGGAAGTCCCTTCCTTCACGTTTAGAATGCAAGGATCTTTATAGGGGAGTTCGGTGTTACCTAATGTGCCTGCTCGCAGGGGGTAGGATCGTACCTTCTGATGACGTTTGACATCGCTGTTGGCGTGACGTGCGGGATCGAGCCTGAGCAGTCGTTAATGGGCCTCGGTTGGCGTTACGACCCATGTCAGCTACGCGCTGTCAATCCGACATGGGTGCCGGGCGTCAGCGGGCGTCACGCAAGTCTTATCGTAATTATCACCCTCATCATATCCAAAATCTTTCCAAGTAATCATAGTAAGAATCTATTATAGATTTAATTATAAATTTGATCTAACACAAGATATTGAAAAATATTAGATCAAATCTTTATTTTTAGATGATGATGCATATTTTGATGGTATCTTTATTTTTCAAATATTTGCTACAGTTTCTCCTTTTTTTTTGCAACCATCAAACCTCTATTTAGGTTTAGATTAAAAGAAAAATAACTATAAATTATTAAAATTCATTATGGGCTGAACTCATGCGACTGTCAGCCCAAGAGCATTGACATCATGAATGGCGTACCTGATACTGCCGGCTCTTTATTTATTTATGCCTCCGAGCTAATGGCATTTGATTGTTTTCATACGATGAACTCCTCAAAAGTTCCATTTCTTGCTTTTTTTCGGTTATCTAAATATTAAAAAAATTACAATATAAGAGAGAACTTCTGAGCTTATCTACTATTGGAAACACTTATTTATAGAGACGGTAAACACTCTAAAATATAAAATAAATTAGAAAAAAAATATTGAAAAATAAAGATATCAACGATACTATCATCATCGAATTACCAAAACGATATCGAGTGCATCGTCCACACACTCAAGCAGTACCATTGCCCGAGTTGGCTGATACCACGCCAAAACTGAGTGGCACCGAGACTCAAGCGGACCAATACAAGCCCGTGGATCAGTCCACTGCAACCATAAGTTATCACTCCTAAGTTGGCTAAGTTTCAGCCCATTTCAAAGCCTATTGTACCCCAAGTTGACTTCAACATGGATAGAGATACCAACCGCATATCTTATACACCATCAAACCTTTTGTGGTTCCATCTTTCGATATTTCGTCATATCTTAGTATATCGGCTTTGTATTTAAGAACATTGTCTAATTTTCTAGCATACCAATTTCGTCACGATATCTGATCATCCAACATGATGCATAGACCTTTAGTTTAACGTTTAATTTTTGATATAATAATCTTTTGATACAAATATTATTTTTTGACTCGATATTTGACTTTCCAATGGTGAGATGAGACTTACCATGCTATCATATTAGTAATTAATAAAGATTACATCAATCAATGTAGAAGTTATCATTTGATATAGATATCATCGTCAAGTCGAGTGAGTCGATACTTACTATGCTATCATATTGATGATGAATGTAGATTTCACTAATCAATGTAGAAATCATTATTTGATATAGTTGTAATCGTCAAAGTCGAGTGAGTCGAGACTTACCATGCTATCATATTAGTGATGAATATAGATTTCACCGATCAATGTAGAAGTGATCATTTGACATAGATACCATCATCAAGTCGATGAGTCAAGACTTTCCATGCTATCATATTGGGGATGAATAAATATTTCACCGATCAATGTAGAAGTCTTCATTAGATATAGATGTCATTGACAAGTCAAGTGAATCGAGATTTACCATACTATAATATTGGCAATGAATATAGATTTTACTGATCAATGTAGAAGTCACCGTTTGATATAGATGTCATCGTCAAGTCAAGTGAGTCGAGACATACCATATTATCATATCAATGATGAATATATATTTCATTGATCAATGTAGAAGTCATCATTTGATATAGACGTCATCGTCAAGTCTTGACGATTGAGTCGAGACTTACCGTGCTATCATATTACACTGAATATAGATTTCATTTATCAATGTAGAAGTCATCATTTGATATAAATATCATTTATCAAGTTGAGTAAGTCAGTGGGTCGAGACTCATTAAATTATCGATGTCATGTGCGAAACATGATTCATAATACTACCATGTCGTTAACGAATACATACGTTAATGATTGATGTAGATATCATCATTTAATATAGATGTTATCATAAAGAATCGTAATTTCGTATTGTACTAGAGTTTCAAACGTAGCTCAATACATACAAGTACTGCGCGGTACTCCAGGGTATACCACTCGGTATATATATATATATATATATATATATATATATATATATATATATATATATATATATATATATATAGTTAAAAAAAATGACGTTGTCTCTTTTTTCCTTCTGCCCGCATAAAAAAGGGCACGAGATAACGTCGTCATCTCATCGCCTCATTTCTTTTGCCCGCGTGGGGAGAAGAAATGCTGCCTCAACAACGCTTTGTTTCTTCTCCCCGCGACGTTATTGAGGTTTCTTCTCCCATGATGAAAAGTCATTGACAACGCCGAGGCCCCATCACCTCAAACGAGGAGGAGGCGACATCTCATCTATAGCATCCGACGAGAGATGGCAACGACGGATCGGGATCATTGAGGGAGAGCGATGCCGAATCTCCAGGTTCCCCCTTTTCTTCTCTCTCTTCCTTCTTCTCTCTTAGCTCTCTCTCAGCTAATACGACCCAGTAGCGGGCGACAACGGTTTAAATTAATCGTTACTGACCAATTTAGGATGGTAATGGGACGGAAACAACCCCAATCAATAGTACCATTCGATACATATGATATTATTCAAAATTAAAATTATTGGTTATCATCAAATTTAGTGAGTTAGTCAGGTCGAAATTTGTTTAAGCTACTAGGGATTAGTCTGATGGAAATGAAATACAAAGAAGAAAATTACATTGAGTTAAAATAATACATAATAATCCCTGTTTATAGACGTTAGAAGGAAAAAAATTTCTCAATAAAGGTGAATTTTCCTTAATAGATTTACGATATTTCCTCATGTAGTTGGGGAGATCTTGGTTGTTATTGAGGTTGTTATCACGAGAGATCTTAATTATCATGCCCCGGCAAGACGTAGTTAATGTCTGATAATTTGTTCTCGCATGAAGTGAAAGTCGATGGCTATGTGTTTCATGCGTGAGTAAAATACCAGATTGGCGCATAGATATGTGGCTCCGACATTGTCACAATATATTGTAGGAGTAAAGGTGATATTGATGCCAAGTTCCATGAGGAGATTCATGACCCAATTGAATTCTACAGTAACGGTAGCTATGACATGCTATTCAACTTCAATTGTAAAACATGCAACTGTCTTTTGCTTCTTAGAACTCCAACTGATTGGATTAGGTCCAAGGAAGATAATATATCTCGTCGTGAATGTTATGTCATCAAAATTTCCTGCCCAATCAACATCAGCAAAGGCGTAGAGATGAAAGAGGGAGTATTTGCGGAAAAAGAGACCATGATTGATAGTCCCGTGAAGATATCGCAAGATTCATTTGACCGTAGACTAATGCATAGTATATGGTCGATACATGAATTGAGATAATTTATTGACCGCAAATGAGATATTTGGATGGGTGAGAGAAAAGTACTGTAAGAAGTCAAGGACTTGACAGTATTGAGTTGAGTCTATAGCATGGCTTCCATGATATTGTTTGAGCGACTCGTCGGTAGACAAAGGTATTGTAACTGCGATGCTGTGGGCATAGTATCACTTTGGGAGAAGCTGGTGATGCAGAATATTGTAGTTCCGTGAGATACTACAGCTTGCAGTTCTGTGAGAAAGAAGGGCCGGAAGGGGAGTTTGGATAGGCGGCTGCGGTGGCTTGAAGTCCGTCGGCTGGCGACAGATCAACAGAGAAGGAGCAGCTGAAGACAGACATCTTGGAGGAGAGGTTGCGCAACTCATCGCTGGAGTCGCATGCATCCGAGATCGAGGTGAGGTTGTTGTAAGAGCGATTCTTCTTAGGTGGCGGGGCGACGGCAACGATGGGTCAGGAGAAGTTAGTGGTGGTGCTAGGCCCGTGAAGCTGGATGACAACAGAGTCGTATACCTTGATGACCTCCTTGGCAGTGTTGAACGTGCCGAGTCACACCCGGACATGGTGCCAAGATCGCGGATCTCCGCCGCGAACTTCCCACGACCGCGGAACCGCTTCACGCTCCCATCCCCTTCACGGGAGCAGAAGAGGATCTACTTGGTCCCCATCGTCGTTCTCCTTCCGGAAGGGAAGGAAGATGCAACGGAGGAAGGGTGGCAGTAGCAACGATGGCTGCGGGATTATAGCTCTGATACCGTAATGAAAATAAAATACAAAGAAGAAGATTACATTGAGTTGAAATAATACATAACACTCCCTATTTATACACGTTTGAATGAAAATTTTTTCTAAACATGATTTTCCTCCTCTGTTATTATCAGTCTTGTATGAGGCCAGTCTCATCGTATACTACATCGATCGATTCAAATATTTTTGATTCACATGAATAAATTGCAGTCTCCGGTAGGAAAAACAGCAGGATTTGTAGCAGATCTTTTTGTCTGACTATTTTTGTTCTCCTATCTTATCCATTGTCTTGTCATCGTAGTCGTAGTGAAGCGGAAAGGAAGCCACGGGAGATTTCTCATGGATTTCTTTTTGCTGCTTCCTCCTAAATTTACTGATTTATCATGGACAAACATTTCCAATGATAAAAAAGGTGGAATGATGAAGTAGACGAATGAAATATAAAATCATTCACTCAATATATTCATCAGTTATGATAATATTTAATAATTACAATAAAAAAATATTATCTTTGATTGAATGATAAAGTGAAGATTCATCGTATGCATCCAGAAAAATGACAGTAAAATGTGGGTATGGCCATTGGTCGCATAAGTATTTGGTTTGATACAATCGATTAATAATAAATTTTATAATATCACGATCCGGGCTAATTGGTCTATTAATTTTATTTGATCCAAATTATTGATCCAAATATTTAAGCTGAAATTAGTAATAATATATTTATCAGACTCTTATAAGTAAATTTTAATCTTGACTAAACATGAGTATTATATAAACATACGACGACAGATTTACTGAAAATAAAATTTTCTTTTTTATAACCTCGCTAATTAGGTCTCCGCCTACCTTGGGTTTGAGAATGGAGACCAAACTCTCTAAAATCTATGCCGAGGAACTTCTTCAAATCAGCATTTTCCCCTTGAATGAACGTACATCTTCAAATCAGTATTTTTGAACGTTGCCGCGTCGACAACCATACCAACTTCGACAAGAACAGAAAAGGGTAAGTCGAACGCATCTCCTCTTTAACATAGTCTGGATGTATATTTACAGAGAGCATTATCGTATCCTTTTCCCCTTCAAGATTCGCTGGAACTAGCAAATCCAGGAGGGGGGAGGCTCTTGTTGTATCAGGCCGCTTTCCCGATAAGCCAGAGGGGATGCTTCCATCCCGTCGCCTCCCTCTATAAGGTGGGCGATGTGCACCGGCTTCCATCCCGTCCCTGTAGCGGAACAGAAGAAGCTGCAGTCATCAGCGAGCGGTGGACATGACGTCGACGGCGCAGCAGGAGATCAGTGTGAGCTCTTCGTCCGGCTCGCGCCCTGTCTCGAAGGACGCCATTATCAATCTCGACCAGTGAGTCATCGCACCCGCCCGGCGTCATTGCTTACGTACCCGTTTTTCTTATTATTATTATTGGATGAATCGGAGTTTGTATCAAAATACACCGCCGGTCTTTTGCTACGATATCCGATAGCATTCCTGTTGACTTGCATTTCTTTCTCGGATTTTTTTACTTCAAATGTATCTTCCCCTGAGGAGATCTCTGATCGAGAGATGCTGGAGATGCTTTGATGTGAAATAATGGGAAGGGAAGCAAGAAATCGAAACTTGTGTTTTCTGTGCTACGTCCTGTCCTTGTTTCTTATTGTCGAATATGCATGCTGTTTGACGGCAAAAAAACCGATGACTGGCCCAGTGGAGATCCGACCATGTTCGAGTCCTTCTGGAAGGAGGTGGGCGAGGCGGCAGACATCACCATCCCCTCGTGGCGGACCTTGAGCTACTTCTCCGATGTCTCCAACTTCTGCTGGTTCCTGCAACCCGAGTTTGCTCACGAGGCACGGCGCCTCCATAACCTGGTTGGCAATGCTGTAGCCGACGACCGCTTCCTCGTCATCGGGACCGGATCGACTCAGCTCTTTCAGGCTGCTCTCTTTGCTTTATCACCTTCCGACGCGCCGGAGCCGATGAGCGTTGTTTCCGCAGTTCCGTACTACTCGGTGAGTACTGTTCCACTACTACATGCAATATATCGCATCCAACCCATTCTCGTTCTTAAGACTTGCTTTGTTTCCAATCTTTTCTACACACTCTTATCAACCTATTGGTCGGTTATATCGTGTCATGAAACTTTCTTAGTTAGATTATGCTATGCTGTTCCGATTTGAGTTGTCGACGAGCAATTAAAAGTATAGATTAATTAATGCAGTCGTTTCCGAGGATCACCGACTACCTTCGGTCAGCGTTATACCGGTGGAGTGGGGATGCATCCAAGTTCGAAGGTGATGCGTACATAGAGGTGGTTTGTTCCCCGAATAACCCGGATGGCTCCATCAGGGAAGCAGTGCTAAAGTCTAGCAACGGGAAGACAATCCATGACCTAGCTTACTACTGGCCGCAATACACTCCCATCACTGCTGCAGCGGACCATGACATCATGCTGTTCACCGTCTCAAAGCTCTCCGGTCATGCCGGAACTCGAGTGGGGTAAGTGGGCATCTTTAACTTTGTCGCCGTGGCTAGTTAGTTGATATTGTAAGAAGGCGATCGATGAAGCTTAAATCAAATGGGGCAGGTGGGCTCTGGTGAAGGACGTGGAGGTGGCCAAGAAGATGGTCAAGTTTATAGAGTTGAACACCATTGGGGTGTCCAAGGACTCACAGCTCCGGGCGGCAACCATCCTCAAAGCAATCTCCGATGGTTACGAGCGCCCAGACGTGCAGACCAAGCCCGGTCTGAAGATGTTCGAATTTGGTCGCCGGCTTCTGTCCATGAGGTGGCAGAAGTTGCGAGAAGCCGTGAAGGCCTCAGGCATCTTTACATTGCCCGACTTCGAGTCGGTCCACTGCAAGTTCACCGGGGAGACGACCGAAGCCTGTCCTGGTATATGTCTTACGTACTTGATCTACTAAATTAATGCCTCTTGGCTGTTGCAGTATTAGATATACCCGTCTTCACAATTAAAATTAAATGTCCTATTTCTGGCCTTCCTCAAGAACAAGTAGTCTAGCCGCCTTTTTGTCCGATGTCAAATATTGCATCACTCCGCCTCCTGGTGTATCTGCATTAGCGTTTTACCGTCTTCGTCGAATCTCAATCGAACCTTTTGGGTTTGCCTGATCTCCATCCATCACAGCTTCTGTCCTACCTACTGCTACTGCGTTGTTGGTTCTTTCATTTTTTTCATCTCGCTTGTTTGTAGTGTTTAACTCGGCATGGTTCCTTCCTTCCTTCTCATCATTCTTTTTTGCTGTGTAGCTTTTGCATGGCTCAAGTGCGAAAGGGAGGGAATGAAAGACTGCGCAGACTTTTTCAAGAAGCACAAGATACTCACCCGGGGAGGCGGCCATTTCGGCGTGGAGTCGAATTACGCGCGAGTAAGCATGGTGGATCGTGATGAGACGTTCGACCTCTTCATCGAACGGCTCATGTCTCTCCGTTGACGCGGCGTCGTCACCGTTGGTTCATCCTAAGCTAGCTAGTATATGTTGAACTTTTATATGCAGCCATATGTCCCTCTCTCGTCGTCGTTCCCTGTGTTCTCGTCTGCCTCCTTCCAGCTATGAGCTACGTGGTCGTATCGTGCCGTCGTCGCTCCGTGTTTGCGTCGGACCATTTTCAACTTTTTCATGTACTTTGTGGGGCAATCCTTGAAACATTATTGCCTGCTTTTCTAGTTTTATTTTCTTCCCCTCTTTGGCTCTTCCTCCTGTGCCGTCGTTGCTCCGTGTTGCTGCGCTTTTGTTCCGAGGTGGGTGACGAAAGTGCAGCGTGAGAATGATGTTGTGTGTAATTTGGTCTTGGCTGCAATGTTTTCAGAACAGTGTTTGGGCAACCAACCAATGAAGCGTCGATCTTTTGTTGCTCTGTGTAATTGTCCTTCGGATGCACAACTTACTACTAACCAACGGTTTAATTGGTTAGGCTATTTAATTCGGTACCCGAAATTAGTGAGAAAGATACGATGATCCGAGACAGGGATGATTTCCTTGGATGAGCATCAGTCGCAATTCTACTCCCCTGAGGTTAGGGAAGGCATTCTGTTTGTACATCTAGAGTCCCAGTTACTTGGAAGTGTATTTGAAATGATTCGTATAATAAGGTCATTTAGTTCTGACTGAGAATGAGAACGAATGACTCGTAAGTTTACTGGATCTTTCTTACCCTCAAAGATATATTTTGGAGTTTACGAGCTCAAAAAGAATAAAATCGTATGAGTATGTTCATCGTTAATTCCTCACGAACCTACAAACCACATAATGATCATTTGATCAAACAATCCCTTATCAGATTCTCCATATAAAGTGAATCTAAGGCTTACATTCTATGCATCTCAATTATGCTTCTTTTAGAGTTCGTAAGTTTTGAATGGATAAAATCGTGCGAGTATGCCCATTGTCTAAAACGGATAATTTCTCACGAGCCTAACACCGATGATCGATCGATCAAATGGTCCCTTATCAAATTAATCCTTTTGAACTTAGCTTCGTAGGGCAACTATCAATTAAGTAACTTAGGCATACTAATTATCAAATCAATTATTACCTATATATATAGTATTTATATATTAAATAATATATTTTAAATCAATAATGATGTTCATTTATCGATAAAATAATATATCTCAGAAAATAAATCTCTCGTGTAAAAATCTCGTCGCTATGTACCTATATTCAAAAATAGAAATCACTTTCTTTATTTGTTTCCCTCTTATTGTGACGAAGATAGATATGGTACATGATTAATCACTTCCGATTTCGGTTCTAATATTTTTCAATCAATTTATGACATTTTTAACACAGCATAAAATATTATAAATCTATTAAAAAGCATGAAACAAATAAAGTTAAAATTCAATGCATATCAACTTATATATAAAAATAGGAGATAAGTATCATCCGGGTCTAGAAACAAGAATAACCAAACAAGAGCTATATAAATAATTTATGATATTTGAAAATAAGCTGAAGAGTTTGACCAGTTTATGGGACTGATCGAGAGATAACGATGAATAGAGATAACTAACAAATACTTTTGGAAAGAAATAATTTTCTAAAGTTCACCCTACTTTTATCATTGGGTCTAAAAAAAATAATATTATAACAAATGATTGAAATATCATACGGTATCGAAGTTTCGATATTCTCACAATACGATACTATATACCGAATGATATACTATTCGATATATATATATATATATATATATATGAGTTAAAAAAAAAGTGCGACGTCACATCTCTTCTCCTTAAGCAACACGACGTCGTAGAAAAATGAGACGATGTTGTCTCTATATATATAATATTTTTTAATTTATATATCTGTTTATATATATATATTTATATATAAAAATAAGATGATATCGCATATATATATATTATTTATAAAAAAATACCGATAACAAACGATAAATTTTCTATCGGATCGATACGTACCGCTCATACCAAACGATATCATTTGAAATTGTATATCTTAATTATAATACTTGAATCTCGAACCCTACATATTTAAACCAAGCGTTTAAATATCAACGAAGCTTCGACCAAGCGAAGCGAAGGACTGATACTTAGGTCACTAAAAAGAGAAAAAAAATATCCAATTTATTTTTGTTAAGCCCATCTTATCGCGCGCAATCGAATGTCATTTATTACTAATTAAATAAATAAATAAATAAATATTGTTATTTACTTGTTGGCGTTATTATATTCATGGATTGAAACCTTTGTCCGCGGTCACTGCCTGGTACGCTGGACCGTGTCTGATACCCTTCACCACGCCGACGGCGCTCTTCTCTTCTCCTTTGTCACTCTCTGCGCTGAATCCGTCTCCTTGTCGGAGAGCGTAGGAGGGCGAATGGAGTCGTCCGCCGCCGCCTCCTTCGATCACCTACTCGACAAGACGCGCCTACCGCAGCCCTCCTTCCAGCGCCTCGCCGTCGCTTCTCTCTTCAAGAAGCTCCGTTCCGCCCCTCCCCCACTCGGCCTTGCCTCCGGCCCCGCTCGCGACGCACTCTCCCGCTGCCTTAGCTCCCCCTCCGCACCCGTCGCTGACCAGGCCGTCCGCGAGCTATGCTCCCTCGTCAAGGACGGCCTTCTCCCGGTCCCCGCCGCCCTTCTCGAGCTCCAGTCCGCCCTCGATGGCTGCACACCCGGCTTCGCCTCGCTTTTCGTCAAGGGAATTGGTTTCTTGGCCCGCTTCGCCTTCCGTGCAGATCCGTCCTGGGGCCGCCGCTTCGACCCTGTTGAGCTCCACCCCTTCATCAAGGTAGCGGCAATGCGCGAAGCTGTTGCTCTTTATCGCGATTCATTGTTACCGCGTCTCTGTCGAATCTTTCTGGAAACCCAGCATCCTCTAACCCTAACCCTAATTTATCATCGCCACGCGTTCAAGGAAAAATAGGAATACAAGAGTAGGAGGGGGAGAAAAAAGTTCTGGTGAAAGGGGAACGAGGGAAAACAAAAGAGAGAAGGGGAAAATTAGGTTCCTGGAAGTGTACATCGCTCATTCATTGATTATTGCAAAATCAAGAAATCTATGACAATCAGTATTTTCCAGCCAACTCTTGGTAACTTTTTTGTATGCTTTTTATTGTCGTTTTGGATGCAGGTCCTTTCATGTCGAACAGAAGTGCACCAGGAACTCATTCAGCAAGTTTTGTTATTTATAGTGCAAAACAAGTCACTCGGAATGGAGACAGTCTCGGGGTTCTTGAGGCCTTTTCTCTTGTTCTCAGTTCTTCGGACTTCTTCTTCTTCATCTTTTACAAGGGATTTGATCTCTTCCGTGGCATCATTCGCCTGTTCGTTCCCATCACAATCTATTGGCATATTGAATCTTCTTGTTGGGTGCACACGGCACTTACCACTAGCAAATGAGGAGGCAAGAATTTTCCTACACTTTTCATGCTTTACCTGCTGTTTTTGGTGATAGCATGTTCTTGCACTTGATTGGATATGACTTCTCGACATGATGTCCCCAGTTTTGATTATAATATTTATGGACAAGATCAGCTTCTGAAATTATAATATTAGGAACATAGTAGGTTGCCCTCCAGGAATGATTTCTGAAGATCGGTAATTTAATCTCTCCTAATGTTCTTTATGTGTCTCTTGGAAAAAATGAAGTCTTGAAAGCTAATGATTTTGCCGGTTTTGCACAATGTTCTCTTGTTGCTTGGTGCTCATTGTTTAGTCCTCATGAATGAAATAAGTAATTATTTTTGGACTAGTGATTTTGTTGGTTTGGCATGATATTTTCTTATTTCCATGATAATACCTCACAACTCTATCCGCTTATCAGGATTTCAAGTGCCTGTTGGTTTCTTCAGAGTACTTGGTTGATGCATTTATCGTGGTCTTGAAGCAGCTGAGTTGTGGCGAAACCGTATTCCAATCCGTAATGTCTTCATATGCCTGAAAACTGTTTCTTATAAGTTTTTACTTTATTTAGTCAGGTATACTTTATAAGCTCCATGAGATCCTTGCTTCCTTACTGTTGTCATTTGCATGATTGGTCATTCTTGGTAGGTTGTTTGTAATTTTTTGCTATTTTATTTTTCACGTGTTAGTCTCCTGATGGTGGTAATGAATAGTTTACTTTAGAGGGAAATTGTTGTTTCTTAGGATACAAACATGGTAATCTGGAATCCTTCTCATTTTGGAAGTGTATAAAATTATGATGCTGTATCTAATAAAGATGGTAACCTTTGTTGACCAAATGTTTACCATCTTTGGCAATATCTGGAAATTGGTAGATAGAAGAAATTTGTTCTCTTAAAACCGCTGTGTGACCATTAGAAACATGTCTACAAGGGAGCTATACTGTGTTATTTTAGGAGAATAGAAAAAAGAAAATGTTAGCTAGATTATAGTTTCTTTCTAGTGTGGAGAATTTATCTTTATTTTAGCCCTGCATCTTTTGGTATTGAGCTTTTCAAATGGAAGACCCTAAAAGAGTTAGTGTAGCACAGACACAAATTTGAAATGGATGTGCGGAGTTACCAGAAATATGAAAAAAAAAACTTTTCATCTATGAATAGCTATGTGAAGCTTGACAGAGGTCGGGATGGGGGAGAATTATTCAAGATTATATGTTCATGTTCAGAGAATACTTACCAATGTCAAATCTTAGTTTATTACAATTAATGGTACAAAGAGAGTTAGAGGGATACCTAAGAAGATATCACTAGAACAATAAAAGTAGATTTGAATGCTCTTTGATTTTATTAGAAATATCACCTTACAAAGAGCTCAATGAGGGAAAAGATCTATGTAGCTCCAAATAGTTGGGACATTGTGACATGTCATTGTTGTTGTGGTAGCATCATGTATGGAGGATAAAGAAGGATTTCAATAGAACAATGTAATTGAGCCATTTTAATGAAGTATAAATAGACAATGGTCCCGTAGAATAAATTATAGGTAGAACCACATTTACTTGTTATTATGATCATCCAATGGGAAAGAAAGGAGAGATTTCTTTACAAATTGTTTGTTACTTGAGGTATACGCTTGGCTCATGTTAGCAAGCTTCACTTTTCACAAATAAGTTGCACTTGGGTTGTTACAACTTACAAATAAAGCGGCCAACATATGGGTTTCTGTTCATTATATAGCTTACCACAAGGTGGGGATTTCAATGTGCACCCATAGATGATTCCATGGGTTAATCCAACATCGAATTCCATAATAACATAAGATAAACTATTCATAATAACATTATTGCTTTACCCCGAGATGTCTAGTCAACTGCTATGCCTCAACACATTTCGGGAAGAACCAGCTAGCTCTGGGCTCGAGAGGCATTTGACCGCCCTAACCACAACTCATTCATTGATTCTTCAACATCAGTCGGTTTGGACCTTTGCTTAGTTTCACCCAAGCTTCATGCTGGTCATGGATAGATCACCTAGGTTTGGGTTCATAAGTAGTGACAATCGTTCTATGAAGATTCGCTTTTGCTACGGCTCCGGTTGGTTACCTTAACCAAGCCAGCCATTGCCTATGAGTCGTCAACTCATTCTTCAATAGACACATTGTTAGAAATCACATTCTCCTTCCATTGCATGGGAACTCACGGTTTCATGTTCTATTTCACTCCCCGATGGGGGTTCTTTTCACCTTTCCCTCACGGTACTACTTCGCTATTGGTGACCCCGGAGTATTTAGCCTTGCAAGGTAGTCCTTGCTGGTTCACATGGGAATCCACGTTTCCCATGCTACTCGGATCAGAGCATAAGCTGGTGATGCTTTTGGCTATGAAAGATAGTTGCTTCAAACATTTTGTGTTGGGCTATGAATGTGGGTATGATGTCAGAGCTCAAGGATGGCAAATATCCATTGTTGGCATATTATTGCTTGTTGTTGTTGTTGGTGTGTATGAGTGCTCCACTTAGCATGAGTCATGGTACATGGATGGAGGTACATTTCGGTAGTTCATTATTTTGGTTCATGATACATACTGCATCATGTAATGTCAAGGTAATTTTCTTGGAACTTAGAAGACTACAAAGCTATGAATGTGTTGAAATTTTTCATCAAAATGATCTCATACTTTTGTTGTTTCTGAACTTTCTTGAAAAGATTATAAAATATATTTTTAATATTTTTATTTATGCAACTTGATTTTTTAAAACAATTATATTGTTCAGATTGAATCGTAGTTTAGATAATCCAGATTGGTCAATACAGCAGTCTATGGTATTAAATTATTCTGAATCAAGATATGCACACCGGATCTGCGATAAATTCATGTATCCTGTGCAACAGTCTGCATGCATTGGACAGTTGATAAATGTAACTGATACTGCTCATGGATCCAAAATATTCTTAAAGCCATTCTTGTGTATGGCTTGGAAGATAAACATGACACTGAAGGAAAGTCAAATTTCAGGAAGTGTATTTTTACTAGTGTGAGAAGACACTTCACATAATAATTTTAACTACTGATAGATTGTTACTTATATATTCCTCTTTGCCTCGTGAAACAGGGTAAAGGTTGATAGCTGTTCAAGATAAAACGACCAAAATGCGGATAAAAGGATTAGATTGAATCACCCATCATATGCATCAATATTATGATCTCATACATTATCAATCAAAGTTGACTTCTTGGCTATTCAACATGTTGTTGCTATTTGGCACAAAAATCCTGATCAATATACATTACATTAACCAATTCATGTACAAAACATGCTTGATGAAACAACCATAAATTTGAAATTTACTTTGTTAATCTGACAGTATAAGAAAATGAATTGGTTGGGTAAATTACAGGAATATGGAGTCTAATGACACTAAATTCCCAAATTTATAGAAAGATGTAAATAAATTATAATTCCACTAAAATCATAAATTTATAATTTAAGGTCTTTGAAATTTGATATAGTCAAATAGGCCCTTATGGTGCATAGGCTAAACCAATAAGTCTATGGGCCTAATTAGTTAGACTTGATCCTGGCTGATCTCAGTCTTGACTGGTTTACTAGCTTAGGTTGGTGTCTGGTCTCCAACTTTAAATTCAGTCCTGTTTTCACTTTGAGTTATTAATTAGTGGGTTTGTTCTTTGTGATAGGGACTTATAAAATCATCTGTGGCATTCAGTACCATTGAATGAGGTTTCATTGATTCCCTGTAGCATGCTCCATGTTGAGCACCTTAAGAGAAAATCGTAGATGCTAATAAGCAGCAGAACATTGGTGGCAGAAGTGGGGAAATAGTGAAGAGGGAGGGAAAGAGGCAAGGATGCGAAGAGAAGAGGAACATGAGCCTAGTATTTGTCTAAGCAAGAAGAGGAGGAGGGGTTGGGTTGCGGGGCATCGGACAAAGAAAGAGGTGGAAAAAGAAAGAGTTTCTGTAATTAAGATAACCTCTAAGATTTATGGTCTTAGCCACAAGCTGATGGGGTTCTCTATTAAGGAAATCACTTTTCTGTTTAGACTTGTGTTGTGCCTGACCCAATAGGCCCACTGGCCCGGAATGTTTGGTATAACAGGCCTTTGTCCACATGGCCTAAAATTCTGTAGCCCCTGTTACTAGTAGTGTGCCCATCTAACCTATATATCATCATAACCCCCTCCCCACCTTTAGTGTGGACTATTCAGGTGAAATGCAATTTGATTCTCTATTTTGTCCTTCTTTGAAGGTGTCTGTGTCTCTGTGATCTGTTTCAGGTAACTAAACGTAAGATCTAAAAATCTATAAAAACAAGGGAATCAAATGAGTTCCCACTTTGGTTCCTCTGTGAAAGCTTTAATTATCATGGAAAATCAGAGGAGACTGAGTGGAAATAGAGTGTCAACATGCTTCATTTATTTGATCATTTTTTTTTTCAATAGGGAGAAACAAAAGATGACATCGACATGTGATTAGAGACATTGATTTGATTGTGCTGTACGGAAAATGTAGGAGGATTCTGGAATCATGAGGTTGTATAGTTTGATTTTGGTGCGTGCATTGGGAATTTGGGTTTTGTTGTTTTGGATTACATTTGATTTTGGTGTTCTTGTCAAAGAGTGAGAGACACTAAGGACCAACACCAGGACAAAAACAAGATGAGCCATACTTGTTATATGACATTTTGAAGAATGTTGTTAGTTCTGACATTTTATATTAGTTTGTTATTCTGTTCTGGAGTGCATTATAGGCATAGTCACATCTACAGGAAGCTTATGAGCATGTTTATATTCAATATCTGAGTATTTGTGACATGACATGGTTGTATATCAAGTTGGCTGTAATTTACTTGTGCCATTGGGATGTTTATTTGTTCTTTTCAGAATACTACTTTTATCTGGAAATTTATCATGCTAATTTAACCTTAACATCGAAGCAGGTTAGCGTTGATGCCAAAGCATGTGGTATTGAGCTACTAGAGAATCTGTTGTCAGTGGCTATTGGCTGTACTAAGCCTTGGGGTGGAGTTGAAGTTCTTCTTGAATTGGCAAAGCGTCTATTGGTGGCCCAGAGAAACTGTGGCTTGCCATATCCGGCTGAGCTTGTTACAGTTATTGTGTCTGTCTCCATCATTCTCACCCAGGCGGAGTTTGAACATGAGCACTTGTCTGCTTTGAAGCTTTTAATTTTCTTGAATGAGTGGAAGAAAGAAAATGGTGCATTTTTTTCCTCACATTTTCTTGAAACAAATTCTTATATGCATAATAGTTTAGCAAAGCCTGGTATCTTCCTTGGGAATTTTGAGTAGTCATTTTACACTTCTTGCTTGGAAAGATCATGCAAATCGTAAAATTGCCTTTTTATTGCACCACACAGCAAAATATGCATGGGCAAGTAACTGACTTGGAATATTTCTCTCATTTCTTTTTGGAGGCCCCGTTTTGCAGCTCAAATTATCTCGGATGAACCAATGTCCTGACAGTTGAATAAGAAACATGTAGGGCTGGTAAATGGCTAATGTCATACAAGATCACCCTGTAACTTCTTTGTTTTTTGAACTTGAACTTCTTCCTCGTTGAGAAATTTGGAGGAATATCTTAAGAACAGGAATTTTGTAGTGAGGCACTGATAATTATGTTCTCTTTGTTTTCAATCGGCTGCTTTATTTTGCAATTGAATAGGATTTCTTGCAAATGAATAACTTAAGTTGTTTCCATCTGTTTGAGATTTCCTATAGAAATGCCTTATGCATTGCTTTTATTGCAGAAGACAATAGCAAAGGAATTGCTTGTTACCATGGTGAAGATCTTTTGTGTATCTTTCCTCTCATCAACCTATTGTCCTCTCCTTCTCAATCTGTTAAAGCGTCGGCATCTCACTTACTTTCAAGAGCAACCAGGCAAGTTTTAGAGTTGTCAGATGATCCGAGAAAAGTGCAGATCCCTACGTCTGGAACGTCTACTTTGAGGCTAGGATTTATTCTTCTAAGGCTTCTGCATCATCTTTGGTTCCAGGTTATCTGATACTGTATCTTATTTTAACATATATGTCTTTTCTTGAATAGATGCCTTAGATTCAGTTAACTTATTGATGCAGAATCATGATGAAAAAATTGGATTTATTGGGTCACAATGTGGTGTAATGACAAGTTGGACGTCTCAACTGAAAGAGTACCTGTCAACCGTTAGAAGGCAAAAATATAATTCAATTATTCAATCACCAGAAAGTTCCTCAGGAGGTTATTGTCCATTTTAGTAATTTCAACATATTTCAAGTTTCACCTTGGAGGTTATTGTTCATTTTAGTAATTTCAACATACTTCAAGCTTGGTCACCTGTTTTTCCTTCTCAGTGTGGTTTTTTTTATTAAATGTATTGGATTGATATAACTTGTTAAACTTGTACTTCCGGTGCGTGATGACAGTTTATTCTGTTTTATAGGATTAACTTCATTATTTAGCTCTGTGGCTTCGATTTTGCTTGTACATCCTAAACTTAGCACGTCTGCTGTTGATTCTTTGGCTGCAATTGGTGGAATGGATTATAAACTGGGTATGCCACTGCTGCTAACAGTTCTCTTCCACATTAAGATGCTATGCAGAGACAAGTGTGACTCGCTTAAAATGTTGGTAAGTCAGTAACCATGTTTATTTATCTTCACAAAACTGAAAGAAGTGTAAAAATAATGGAGGAAGAAGCTACTAACAAAACACTGATTTAAAAATTGGTGTGAAAAATCAGTTAAACTTTTCTTCATGGATTGAAAGTTACATGAAAACATAGATGGAAGGAATGTTGAAATTTACTTCTAAGTTCTAACTTTGCATTAGACCATTACTGCTATCATTATTCTTGCCATTGTTGCGACTGATGCTCTATCTCCATGTTTGTTATTATCAGTCTTTCTGATATGACCATTTATCACCATTTCCAAACCGCCACTACATTTATCATCAGTACTTTTGTCAGAAATCAACATGATTATTTTGGGTGCTGTTCAAGTTGTCAAATTGAAGATATAGTATATTTATCACTACTCATCTTTGTTCCATGGTTTCCTAGGAGACTATAGTTGTATTTTGCTGTGTATTCAACGTGAAATCAGCTGTTATTAATGGTAGTGGAAGTAGCAGCCATCAGCTATCAGTTTTGGTTGAACTTGATGACATTCATGTGCCATGCTGTGGATCACAACCACTGCTGTTATTGCTACATCAGTAGTGGGGACATATAAAAGTTTTACCACCTTTTTGCAATAATTTACCGACACTGCACCTACCATCATGGCAAGGCACATTGAATAGTTTTTTAGATTATATTAACTTAATGGTTGATTTTCCTTAGAACCTTTATTTATCTATTGCAGCCCAGACTTCTGGAAATGCTTCCATCGCTCGCTACACATTCTGTTATGGTTCCGTTAATTTTACAAACAGTGTTGCCAATGCTCCACAAGAGTGCAAATCCGTATGTATCTATCAGTTTATCTTATGGTTATGTTCATTTACCATATACAAATGGTTCTTACATGATTGCTCTTCATGATTCTTTATAGTTGATTATTTTGCGATGTTTTTATCTAAATTATTAGTATCTTAAAAAGATATTTTGATTGTTCTTGCTGTTGGTTTGTATGCTGCAGTATTTTTTAGAGTTGTCTACTATCATTGCCTAGCTTGTCCCTTACCTTCCTAGTTTTCTTTTTCGTTATGTATAAGATGCTACAGAGTTTGAGATGGTACGGGGATAATCCTCTTTTGGTATATTTTGAGATAGTTGAACCCCTTAGGTTATATGACCAGTGTGTTTTTGTGTAACTTGTAACTGATTAATTTGAAATTAGATGGAAGTGACAAACAATCAAAAGGTGATTGTGATTTATGATGCATGGTCCAAAGGTAACATTGGAAACTAGCAAGCCTGCCTAGATTGTCCTTTACCTTCTTGGTTTAATTCTTATTCTTTGTAAAATTTTACTTTTAAGATGCTATAGTTTTGAGATAGTTTACCATCTTCCAAGGTTTGAGCTAGTGTACTGGTTGATCGACGGTATGTTACGTACTGCTTTGTATCAACGTATCGTGTGTCGGTACAATGGGGCATACTGATGTTATGAAAAAATGATAAAAAATAGTTCCAAAATTTTTTGAAAATAAAAAAATTAGATTAAAGTTTTTTAAGTTGGAAATAAATATAAATTTAGTATAATTTTAGCAAAAATAATCTAAATTAGAAAATAATAGTGGCACATATCTTTTTCGAGTTTTGAGGAGTAGCTTTGAGGTACGTTTCAGATTGTCCTTCTGTTGATATTGAATTATCTGCAAAGAGATAATTTGAATTGATACATTATTTGTTGAATAACTTAAACCTTAATATTATGATGAATCAAGCAATCGATCGGTGGATATACCTGGTTTTACCACAAAAAATAATGACAGGACTCCACTAGCAGTGGATCGGGGTCCTCGATCCTATATATTTGTGTATTGAATTGATTTGTTTGTTGGACCTAATCTTGAAATTGATCTCATGACATAGTATACTGATACACCATATGTCATTGGTGCATCAATATGGTGATGGCTGTAGTTTGATCGTTGTGAATCACATGTGTCCGTGGCGGCTCTTAAGACAAGTACGATTGTGTCCTGTATTGGTGCGGAGTATGGAGAATGTCAAAACTTCTACTTTCGCTACTGATCTATTACTCTGTATCATAAGATCGATCACCGTACTACTACTTGGAGAAGAATGAGCAACTATTATATCAAGCTCCGTGATATGAATTTTGGGTGGTATGCGTAAAATACTGCTTCTCGGTCCATGCATCAGTCTCAATCTATTTGGACGGGACCATCGACTCTTGGGCATCGCTGTCATTGTCGGTCGAGGCATTGCTATCCGTGCCGCTATCTTATCTCCGGATCGAGTGGATTGTTGAATGCAATTGAGAAGTTGTCTATGTACCTTTGATTAGAGAGTTCTTCTTCTAACTTAAAGTGTTAATCCTCCTTAATTATCTTCCCAATCTTGATCCAATCCACAAATCGTAGCTTTGTGAAGTTTTTAAAAAGTACAAATGTGAGAATTAGAGAAAGAAGCGAGTGAGAAAGAGATTAAGAGAGTGAAAGGGGGTGAAAGATGAGGAGGAAAGGGTTTAAAAACCCTTTCAAATGGATATGACCATTGGAAAGGATTAGATATGAGCCATTAGTCAGTAATGATCAAAATTTGATCGTTATCAATCGGTACAGGTTTGTAACGGTTGGATTTCGATCGTTATTGAGCGGTATAGGCCCGTATTGAGCGATACAAAATCTTTTAGTATATACCACCTAGTACAGGGTGGTCCACGTACTTGTCCCCTATTGGATTGGTACGTACCGCCCGTACCAAGTGGTATGATGTGGCACGGCAAACCCTACTACCTTCTAGGTTATATGACCAGCGTAAAGTCTGCAGTGTTAATTGTAACTGATTAATTTGAATTTTGATGGAAGTGACCAACAATTGAAAAGGTTATTGTGATTTATGATGTGGCACACTAAAGGTAAATTTGGAAACTAGCAAGCCTACGTAGCTTGTGCTTTGCCTTGTTCAATGTTCTTGTTCTTTTTGTAAGATTTTTTTTTCTAAGAAAGCTATAATTTTTTATGGTGTGGGGATAATCACATTTTGATGTATGCTGAGATAGTTGACTGCCTTTTAGGTTATATGACCAGTCTAAAGCCTACAGTGTTATGTAACTTATTGCACTGATTAATTTGAATTTAGATGGTTGTGATAAACAATTCAAAAAGTAATTGTGATTCACGATGCTGGGAGCTTGCAAGCCTAAGGAGCCCTAATAACTGTCTCAATTGGGAACTAAATGATATAGATTGAAGAAAATATGCCCATGTCTAATGGTGACCTTAGGATGGGCTTGTTTATGTCTCAAGTGGGCAAGAAAGGGAAGGTAATAATGGGGGAACCGCTGAAGGTCACACCTACTAGATTGGGCCCAGTTACAATTAATTAGTTTGTTTAGATTGAATTAAACGTGTAACGTTCTATGAACTATGAAGTGACTTCCAGAAGAAAATCAGATCCTAATGGTTTAGACAAGGGGGAAATGGGAGGGGAAATAAAAACAGAATAAAGAAAGGGGAAGATAGGAGTTTGTGGCTGGCAATTTATTACATATCAAATATTCATTTAGGGAGGTTTCTGTTTTTTCCTGTTCAGAATAGATTGGACTCTCATAGGTCTCTCTATGAGGACTCTACGGATAGATGTAAAACTGTTAACCAACCAAAACTCTTCTTGATTGACCCCCTGTAAACAAAATTAACTTTTAAAGAAATTCAAATCTTTTTAGTACTTCCAAGTTCCATCATACAGACATTGTAAGAAGACTAGTTGGTTAGTTGCAACTCTTTTGGGACCTTGAAAGTAATATCCAAAGGAAACAATATAACAATCATAAATACTTAGAATATATGCACGCCTGTGTCTAAAAAGACTTAACCAAAGTTATCAACTTTTGACATTGATTGCTGTACTCTCTTCCCCTGCATTCAATGGTCGCCAATGTTCTTCCAGTTGAAGCCAAATCAAAATTTTGGCAAATTAAAAATTGAAGAAATAGTCCAGCTAATTTTTTTCATGTTTATGATTAAATCAGTGATACTCTCCAAGTTATGAATAACATCAGTGCATATCAATTTAGTCTTTGAACTGGTACATGTTTTATACTATGAGAATCATCAATTATGAATTCAGTAAAACTCTTTTCTGCCAGATCTGACATCTCCTTTGTATAGGAGCTACTAAGTGTTTTTTCCGTTATTAAGTTGTTTTCTAATCCATTTTTTTTCTGCTTTACTTCAAAGCTAATATACTGTATCAAACTCACTTTCTATATTGAAGTACCTTCCCTTCGAAGCAGATAATTTGTCAAGGTTCTACATTTGTACTTCGGATAGATGAATTGTGTCTCAAACTTTCTTCATCAATATGATTGATAAAGGATTTTTACATTGCTTTTGCTCTGATATCAAACTACTAAAGTAACCTTTGAATATTTACTTGCCATGTAAGGCCTTGTTCTTGTTTGTTTGGAGCTGGCATGATGTGCCTTGCCTAGACTGAACCTCATCACATCTAATAGTATACCATTTTCCAAGTAAAGTGTCTCAATACTAGGATTTTATAGGCAAACTGAAAGAGGAAGTTGTTGACTATTTGAAAGGCTAAGACTCTTCCATTATGATCTTAACCAACCTGGCCTGTATTTTCTATGGGAAAATCTCTCCTTTTAGGATTTTGTAAGATAGATGGTACTCACCAAGCTCTTTAAGAAGTCTCCATGGTCGCTCAATTAGTAAAGTGATGGCAATATAGATTCAATTGAATCCTGAAAACCTAAGTAAACTAGAATAAAAATACTATGATTTAAACCTTTACCTCATTTGACTCAGCTCTAGGCTTCCATGTATATGCTTGGTGTGCAGGTTTCTCCTGCGTCACATGCTCATGAGCTGCTGATATGGTTACATGCCATGTTCTATTCCATGGTATATATTGCATCCACTGCATGCTTAAGAGTTAGGATTGTACTTATAAACATCAAAATTCTGAATTAGATCAACATATTGATATTGTAGGACCTTTAGTTGGGATGTACCGCATCATATCCTCCGTTGATCGTGCTTTGTAAGGTGATGATAATAGTAGTGACAATTTTAATCCTAGAGCTATCCTCATGGGAGAGTGAGTTGCTTATATAGCATTATATTGTTTTTCATTTTCCAGTGTGTTATATGGCACAGCTGTTCGTCTACTATGTAAGACATGGGTTATCAATGATACGGCTTTTGGAACTTTGCAAGTAAGTTGAATTATTTAATTTTACTACATTGATTCCTTTTGGATGTTATTGATCTCCTTCTGTCACTTGTCTTAGTTCTGCCTGAATGTTACTTCTTCTGCCAACATATATACATTTAGCTATAGCAAATTCAAGGAATTACCTTTAGTTGCTGGAAGGTGAAGCATTAAGGAATAAGGATAACTAACTTTCGAGTAGAATTAAGCACTCGTGTTAAGCAAATCCAGGAACTCAGATATCACAATCACAATCACAATCACAATCCTTAATGCAGTTTGATTTTTGTGGATTACTTGCAATAGCAAATAAGCTTGACTATTGTATCTTACAGTGAAAAAGTATGGAAGGAAAATTTCAAAATTGCAGAATATCAGTAGACAAGCATGTGATGCAAATAAATGGATGAGCACAGTCTACCAATTAACATTATATTTTGTAATAAAGATAAGTAATTACTATACTGATAATATTGTGGAGTTGTTTTTACTCTCGTTATCGGTTTTTCATGAACATATATTGCAATACAGCAGCAAGAACCCAAGCAGAATTCATATGCAGCTAAAAGCCATATTTGTGCACAAAGGACAAGACATTGTCTTGGACAACATTTTGCAACATTTTGGTATTTGGGAAGTGGCACTTCACTTTTGTCTATAGAATGTTGATTATTGAGCATGCAAACGTTTTTTTGTTTCATTAGGAACATATCATTTGCTTATTGATTATGTATACCTTTTCTTGTTGCATGTAAATATAGTTGCTATATTTTCCCTTGTTTCTCACCATGTATGATGTCCTAATATTGGTCATCAAGTAGACAAATGTATTTTTTTTTGGCATAAAACATCTTCAATTTAAGAAATAAGATTTAGGAGTATTGAATTTCTAGGGAAAATATGGTTGCTATATTTTCCCTTGTTTCTCACATATTGGGCAATACGGGGCTGTATCGGGCGGTAACGATTGAAACTGACCGTTATCGACCTATATTGGGTTTCAAACGGTCAATTTGACCGTTGGAGGCAACCTAAAGGATGTTTAAACTTTAAACCCTTTTCTCCCTCCTCTTTTAATACATTTCACTCTCACAATATCTTAAGCTCTATCAAACTCTTTTTCACTTACAATCTCTCTCTTATTCTCACATTTTCACTCTCCTAAACTCAACAAAGCTACGATTTGTGGATTGGATCAAATTTATGAGGCTAATTTGGGAGGATTAAGAGGAAGAACGATAATTCAATATTAACGGAAGGATGATCCCAAACGGATCGAAATTGCGAACTTTGCACCAAGGTTCACTGTACCATACCGTACCGGCGTTTCGACCCGAGCTCGGTACGGTACGGTACCGATGTATCGGGCGGTACATCAGGGCGTACCGAGCGATATGCCTTGGTGTACCAAATTTTTTTTATTTTTATTTTCATACTGTAGCAGTGCTGCAGTACAGTACTGTAGCACTGTAGCGGTACCAGGCGGTCCGCATACCGGTAACCTGTCGGACCGTTACGTACCGCCCGGTACGGGCGGTACGCTTCGGTACGGTAGACATTGCTTTGCACAAGGCTGCTCCTCAAAGCTCAAAAAAGATATATGACACTATTCTGACCTAATTTACATTATTTTTGCTAAAATATACTAAATGTATTAATAACTTAAAAACCCTATCCTAACTATTTTTCTATTTTTCAGGTATTTTCGGAGGGTTTTCAGCTATTTTAGGCGTACTGTCCGGTACACCCTGGCGTACTATCAGTATGCCTCAGTACGTATCATATCGAGCAAGGCTCGATATGTCTGTACAGACCGAAATTGCAAACTTTGGTTAGGATTGTGACAAAGGGATTGAGAATCTGATGGTAGAGGTGTGACGTTAAGAGAAGATTTAGTGGTAATGTGAGGAGGATCAAAAAGCAATTACTATGAAAAAAATCATGCTTTATGGGTTGGCAAAATTGTAAAAATGAGAACTTTAAATATATAGTAACTTTAAAAGAAGTAAATGAGCTGTAAGTATGACAAAATACAAGGGTTATGATAAATTTCACAATAAGCTAGGTACTAGGGATGAGAAAGAGGATAATTTTGAATTGCTAAAAAACAAAAAGAAAAATCTCCATGATCATTTGCTGATGATACTGTTCTAATTGATGAGAGTTTAAAGGAAATTAATCGTAATATTGAATTATGGAGGCAAATCTTGAAGAGTAAATTTTTAGCAATATAAAGAGAAGAACTAAGTATGTACTTAGGAGGAGTTTTATATGATCATAAGTTTTATAAAGTAGTTATTAAATCAACTGTGCTTTATGGATATGAGTGTTGGATCATTAAGATGAGAAGACTGAGGTGGATATGTGGAGTTACAGGGAATTAGGAAAGATGTTTTTTTAATGATTAGGTGGAATTCCAATGGATGATAAAATGAGGTAGAAACAATAAGAATGGCATGGACGTACTCTTAAGGGGACCTACAGGGCTACAGATATTATAGTTAGACGAGATGGGACAATTAATATTAGTGGTCCATGGAAAGATAGTGGGAGAGTTCTGAAGATATTCCTAGAACTGAGTAAAGATTTTAATGTTTTTAATTAGATTAAAGATACTATTTTATTTAGAGTTCAAAGACAGAAAATGAATCATGTAGTCAATCCAATTAGTTGGGACATTATGTTGTTGTTGTAGCAACCTAATGCCTCACCAATTCAAACTTGACACTGAAATACTGAATATCTTCTTCTGCTTGATTTAGGGACTTCTGGATCCCCAAGCCTTTTCTCATTTCATGTCTCAGAGAGAAATTTGTATTAGCCTTGCTGCTTCACTGCGTGATATCTGCTGCCATAATCCTGACAGGGGTGTTGATCTCATATTGTCTATCTCGGTAAACTTAAAGAAGCTCTTTCTCAACTTGTTGGTTGGCTAGACCGAATGATCGACAGAGTTCTCTTTAATTTTGTTAACAGTCATCTATTGAGAGCCGTGATCCTCTTGTGCATGCTCTTGGATTGGAAAGCCTTGCTCATCTTTGTGAAGCCGATGTAATTGGTAATCTTCTTGAATTTTATAATTGATTTTTAAATTTCTTTTTATGTTGAAGGGCTATGCTTTTGTTGTAATTTAAGTTTATATGAGCCTTGAATTTGCGTGTGCCATGTTTTGGAAGAGCTTTGTTTTATTCCTCTAATAGTTGTGATTAGTTGCCATAATATGGGATGTCAAAGGGTTGGTGAACTGTTAACTCTTTTCATTGCTGTTGGTATGTTGTTTGCTTTTCCAGTTGTTCTTACTGAATCTTTTATGTTGGAGGTTTTAGTCTTTTAGGAAGTTAAAGGTACATTAGCTTTGAATTTTTAACATGCCACTTTGTAAGATGCTTGTTTTGTTATTTCTGGATTTGTTTCATTATTGTTGGCCAACATTTGGGATTTCGAGGGCCTGGGGAACTCCTTTTTATCTGAAATATCTAGTCAATTAATATAATGAAAATCATTTTAGATCATTTCAGATTTGGTCATCATTTTATATAGTTAAGTTGTCCTTGTTGGGTTGTCATGCTTGTCTGATTTTTGGTAAATTTGTCATCAATGAAAGATGAACAGCTAAATGTCAAAGCTCTAGGAATTTCGGGGATACTTACTAGTCTTTAGTGCAGTGATGACATACTTTCTAGAAATATCATGATTTAGGATTAATTTACTGCCATCTAACTTTAATAGGAATCAAGGGAAAACAATATTTTTAGAAAAAAGTAATTTTTGTAGTGTTAAAATTTTCAGAAATAAAAAATTACTTTTGCTAATTCAGTGCCATCTAAATCTAGAAAACAATTTTTAAGGAAAAAAATAAATATTTGGTGTTTGGTTCATCAGAAAATGAGGACTTTTGCTGCTTACTTTTTGATTTGTTGGAAAAGGAAAAGCAAAATGGATTCTTTTTATTGATAGTTTTTTGGGGTAAGGTATCAACTTATACTTGTTTCTTCCATGAAAATTTCACATTATTTGATGTTTAATATCTTTTGGTTCTTCTTAATAATGTGGCTCTAGTAGAGGTTGACAAATGGACCTAGTAAGTCTTTAATTTTGGGAACCTTGATATATAAGAAATGAAGAATCTTTTATTGACACAAATGATATATAGATACAGCTTGACAATAAAAGTAAATAAATCATTACTGCAATAACAACACAATAATAACTCAATTTTTGGGTTCAAATAGGTGAAATGTTTAGCTGCTGCTTGGTTTCATCTAAAATATTGCAGTTGATGCTCCTTTAAGTCTTAATGCTTCTTTCCTTCCCTTAGCTAAGGTCTTGTTGTTGATAGAAAAGCATTTAAGAAGATTAGAAGGTTGTTCTGTTAGCTCTACGATTAAAGATTAACTTTGCTTTCATCTTTTCGGGGATTGTTAATCCATCAATGGGCTATCTGGTTGATTGTTTATCATGTAATGCATGATATGTTGCTAATAATGCTGTTTGATTTCTGGTTCATTTGCCTGTTCTAGAATGTTTTTGATCTGAAACTTTATCGCTATGCCTGATTCCAAAATCTACTTTTTTATTTTTGTTGGAGGTTATCTTCTGCTATTATTAGGTCTTTTTCACAAAATTTATCTTCCTTTCAGACTTTTACACAGCTTGGGATGTTATCTCAGATCATATGCTCGATTATTTCAGTGACCCTATTGTTGCTCATGGGTAAGAATATCAATATCTACTCAAGTATTTCTTTATATTTAAACCAAGGATTGTAATTTTGGGTACTATACAATACTGGTGTACTGTGTATTGGTACACTGATACATACTGAGTTTAGGAGAACACCTCAAAAAAAGACCAAAAATAAAAAAAGTTACTGATTGGACCTGTATTGGGTGGTACCCAGCTGTACCGGGCGGTATGCTTTATAGTTTATACTTAATACTAGGCTTAAACCATCCAAATTCCCCTGGCCTGTGGTGCCAGCAGTATATCAGATATGTAAATACCACCCATACCGAATTGTACTCGGCCACATTGCAAACCTTGGTTTGAACTTTTGGTCTTCTGTCATATATAGTCCTATAAACTTTGGTGTGCTAGGATTAGTTCTGGACACATTATCAAATTAGCCCCCTGTATAGTGATCTCTGGTGTTTGTTGCCAGACTTATCTCTGAAACATCAAGTATGATAATGTTGATCGTTGGCATTTGCTTTTGTTTCTGGTCTGTAGTTATAAATATTAGGTTCTTTATATTGAAATCATATTATACCTCTGTAAAAGGAACACAAGAAATTGACATGTAAGATTTTACATGCTCAAGTTCATGGTTTTAAATATGGCATGGTACTGTCCGTATTGTGCTGGCCCAATATTATACTGGTATGCTGGTGTATCATGTACCTATTGGCTTGACTTGTTAAGTAATTTCTTTTGTAATTTTTAATTGGTGATGGAGCTATGGTGGCATCTTGTATTCCGATTAGTGGGTGTTGATTGTCAGCAGGGATTGCTGTACCGCTCGAAACGGTATGGTTTGGGCGGTGCATATCGGTCCGGGCGTGGACCGATGTGTAGACCACCCTGTTTTGGGCGGTCCAAATTAAAATAATAAAAAAAATCAAAAAGTGATGGGCCCCAGTCCATTTTGGCATTAAAAAAAAAGTAGGCTAGGTCTCTTCACGCATATGTAGCTGCAGTGCTACCTCTTTGCCATTGCGATGCTACAGCGGTGCTGCCTCTTCGCCGCTGTAGCGGTACTACCTTTACGCCTTTGCGATGCTGCAGTGCTGCTTCCTCTTTGCCGCTTCGTTGTTGCGATGCTGTAGCAACACTGCCTCTTTGCCGCTGTGATGTTGCTGCTTCCGTTCGATGCTGTCGTTGCTTCCTAGGTATCGCTGCACTTCTCCTATTCTTTCTTCTTCTTCCTCCTATGATCCTTCATTGGACCTTCCTCTTCAACATCTTTTTCTTCCTTGTCGAAACATCGGTGCGCACCGACATTTAGTGTGTCGGTACACTGATATGGAGCAGCACGTGCCGTGCCATCGGTCGGCCGACACATCGGCTCGGACCGGTACGTCAAACCTTGATTGACAGTTCTAGCATTTTGCTCAAGGTTCTATTTCATGTGATCATAAATTCAATATCTTAGTGCTACAACACTTCGAAGTTGCATACTTTGCTTATTTGATGTTGTTGATGATAGTTCTTGTAGTCCTTTTTTATTAAGGCACATAAATGCAAGGATTTCGATCCTGAACCTGAGTATTATTGTCATTTTACATGTACAAGACATATTATTGTTGGTTCACATGTAGAATGCATAATAATTGTCTCTCTCATAGATTTTCTTCTGTAATTGGCCATAAAACTTGTCAACCTCTGTTCCACAATTTGTTTTTAGCTTAGTAATATTCACATCCTCTGCTATGAAAATTTTCTGTTAGTTTACAGTGTACTAGTGTGATTTCTTCTGTTGATATCGTCTTGCAGCTTGTGCATCTTATTAAGGTGGGGAGCATTGGATGCAGAAGTTTATTCCGAAACATCCAGAAATGTTATCAAGATATTGTGGGAAATTGGAACATCTAGGTTTGCTAACTATGAATTTCTATGGGTAAAAGCACGGATAGTTGCATTTGAGTCATTGTCCCATTACGAGGTAAGATTTATGTGAGCACTACTTTCTGGACCCTTTTAATATATATCTAAATTACTGTCTTATGCTTAATATATTTTTTTATGGTATATTGTTGGAGGATTGAGATTGGAGCTCAGATGATCTCACTTTGATTCACATTAAAACACTTTTCAGGTTGCAAATATTCAGGAAGCCATTCCTGAATTTAAGAGAAGAAATTTGGAGTGTCTTGTTTCTGAAGATAATATGGAATTACTCAATGCGATGGAGAAACTTGAAGTCAAGATTTTGAAATTTGAACACATGTTAGAAATTTTATTACATGTTAATGCCATTTTCTTAGTCATGATAATTTTTTCCACATGCTTGGAGAAACTATTGATGTGTCATTTCTGCATTTATTGCCTCAGAACTCGGCGTAGGATGCTTAGACAGAAAAGAGTTGTGGTGCACAAAGTTGAAAAGCTATTGGATGTCTTTCCTCAAGCAATTTTCACTGCAGGTATGAAAAGTCCGTTGATTATGCTAAAATCACAATCATTTTATCATTTGCTTTGCCCTATTAATTTGCAATTTTCTTGAAGCTACCAATTCAATTTCAATTTCCATTTTGGGGTGGGCTCTTCTTTTAACTTGAGTTCCAATCATTTAGATGCAACAAATAATAATTGTAACAATTAGCCTTGACCACGGTTCGGTTCGAAAGGGAACTGAACCAGAATCGAATTGGCCTGACAATTCGTCGGTTCCAAACCGAACCGGAATCAGACCTAGTGGTTTGATTATGGTTCCTAGTTTTTGGAAACCAGGACTGGTGGTTCCGGTTCCAATTTGAATTGGTTCCCAATTAAAAATATATATATGATTTTTCCTATTTTTAATTATTTTTAATTAAAAATAAAAAATCGATGGTTCGAACTAGAACCAGAACTGTAAGAACCAGAACCAGAACTCAAACCAGCCCTATACGGTTCGGTTCCAGTTCCCACAATTTAGGAACCATAACCGGGGTCAGGTCTAGTACCAATATATTAAGGAAGAAATTGAGCCTTTGGTAGTTCAGGAACTTTGGGAACATAATGTTGCAGGTTATGTTCTTAATGAAAAGCAACCTCATCCTTGCCTTCTCTCCCTCTTTTTCTTTTTTTAAATTATTCGTAAGTGGTCTGTGTCAGGGTTTTTTGGAGTAATTTATTCTTAAATAAGAAACTGATAAAGGCAACAATATGCTTTCTTATGTTTTCCATACAGTCCTATAGAAAACTATTATTGTATAAGAAACTTGTAGAGGCATCAATTTGCTGTCTTATGCTTTTCATGTGGAGGATTATAATTATTCAATGATGCCTGGTTAAGTAATGTCTGAACTCTGAAATTCTTTAGGAAAAATAATTCTCCAAATGTACCGGTTACAGATCATTCTTATTTCATGAATTTATTTACCATAGGGGAAACTACACATTATTTAATAATGAAGAAAATTGCAAGGATTTTCAAATCAGGCCTCAAAGTGCTTTCTGATTACGCTAGTTTCATTGTGCTGCCTTTTGTTGTGACACTGTTATAAAGGCTCTTCAAGATATACACGAGGATGGAGAGCGAATAAGTCATTATTTTTTTAGATTTTGATTTTGGAAGATAGAAAGATTACAGAGAAAATAATATTTGAACTCGCTGTGGTTACTAGACATCACAAATGGGGTCTTGGCTTCACATCAGATGTACCTCATGCACAGATTATGGAATCAGACTATTGGGGAACAAGTAGCGCCTTGTGACTCTCTCCTAGAGATGGAAGTCTCACACCTTTTCACACGGTGTTTTTTATTCTTTAGTCACAAGAAGAAAAAAGAAAACTACAAAAAATGAAAAATACAATAAAAGATTATGGCTCATTGGCTCTTAATCAAGGCATATTAATCAAGGGATAAAAAGTTTGGTCCAATGCTGATACTGGTCCTTGGGCTGAACGGCACATTCCTAGTGCTCAGTGCCAATGCTAAAAATTAAACAAATTTCCCCAGCATTAGGTTCCCAATGGTCTTCACTTAGAGGATATTTGTGCCGGATTAAGTGATGCTTTTGTGACTTCTTGTTCTGACTTCATCCTTTCGTTCTTTCGTATAAAAAATAGTGAAATGAGTTTACATGGGCTCGCCTATCCTTTGCCTTGATCAAAATATCCAAATAGTATGAACTTATGACCTTTGTGATTGGTTGATTTGTTCTTTTTCTTTTTTTGAAAATTTAGGATGCATCGTGTACATACATTCTGGTCATGGCTAAGTTCTCGGTTCTTCTATGCAGGAAAACAAATTGGAGAGTTACCAGGTGCAGCTTTATTATGCCTTGTTTATACTCCCAAGGATTTAAATTCTCAAGCAACAACAAAGGCAAGATATTAATAATTGAAATTAGTTGTTTATGCTTTGATTCCATGGTTGCTAAAGAATTATGTTTGAATTATCATCTTTTGTATCGACTCGCTACAGGATTCAGGTAAACTACATTCTGAATATGAGAGAGCTCTGCTGGAAATCGCTGAATCACTTCATATATCAAGAAACATTTTTATGGGATTTCTTGCACTGCAATCATGGAAACATTTCATGCATCGTTGGCTGAGAGCAGTGGTTCTGCTTGCTGATGCTAAATCATCTTCTGCATTTGACAAAAACAACAAGGTTGCCAATGATATCTTAAAGGTCAATGTCTAATCAACATTTTTGTTAATATTCTTTTTTATTTTTGTACTTTTACCATCTTCTCCATATAGTACTCACATTGGGCATTACATAATGGAATAAATTTGGTGCTTGTAGCAAGGCTAGTTAGGACATACATAGCTTTAGTTAGGACACACATAGCTAGTAATATATATTAGCTTTTTGTTTATATTAGTGATATTAGAGGTCAGAATTTAGACTTCATCACCAAGGTTACTTACACAAATGTGAGGAAACCACACAGAAAAACCTGAAGCAGTCTAAAGAACGATCTGATAATGCATAACCTGGATCTTCTGCAAAACATAGTTATCAAAGGCAATTACCTTATCTCCATGTTATTCACTTGTCGTATGTAATAGTTGTAAGCATACATTTGAAACAGGCTATGGTATCATGTGCTTGTTTGCTTGGGGTTAACAAAGGCCAGAACCTCTTGCCCCAATCTAATTATTGTTGTTAAATGTGCTCTATGCAATGTAGACTTTATATGCTAGAATTACATGATCATCCCAAGTCTTGTAGCAGTTGTAGGATTATTCATAAATGCATATTTACATTACAGAGTAGTTATCAGATGAGCCTTTCAGTCTAAGGTCTGAAGCATTGGCGTTAGGTACATTAATCTTTTCTTATCCTTGTGCTTGGCGATGGCAATGCCACTATTCAAATTTTGTTTTGAATGAGTTGGATGAGAATCTGGAGCTATATATACACACACACACACACACACACACACACGCATATGTATATATATACACACATATATATGGAAAGAATATAAATATGCTGTTATTCAAATGAGAGAAAAGGCAAATATTTATATATTTGTATGTGAACCAACCCTCATTTTCCGAAAAGGCAATCATCAGAAATTCTTAGCATGTTCTAGATTTCTTTTGAACTAGTTTGTTGGGTCTGAACATTGAAGGTTATCACTGTGTATTTTCTAAGCAAATAAACTTTATTGCTTTCCATATGAGTGAAAAGACAGCTATGCAGATATATGTACAACAAATGCCAACACAGCACCCAGGAAAGAAATTATCATGGTTCATTGTAGGTTAATTTCAATACTTTTGTTTGATTATACATTACATATTGGCTATGGTTTATGGTAGATAGAGTACTCTTATTTTGTTAGGACTGAGTTTGATTGTTGGTTTTGAGCAAACTGATATGGCTATTTGAAAACTAATGTCATATGCATAATTTATTTCTCTTCATTGACATGCACTTTTTTTTGCTTTCTAGTTGGCATAATTTTAGGTGCATTAGCTTACTCTACTTGAGAAGGATAGATGGTTGACATGATTTATCTACTTCCAGTTGGTTTTACTTTAAAATCTACCAGATTATATTTATTCTAATTGTACTAATTATCTTATTTGTTGTTTTGTAGACTCTTTGCAGAGTTGGGGCTGAGTCTATTCCACAGATTTCTGCAAACATTGCCTTTGCTATTGGTGCCCTGTGTATGGTGAGAATCTCAGTCTAATTTGATATTAGATACAAAAATATGTAAAAATATGTTGTAAGTGTAAAATATTTGGACTTCAAATTGCAAGTAGTCAAATCTCTCTCGTTTTTTGTTTTAATAAAGTTTTCTTAGGTTTCCATCTATCTCTTCTTACGCCATTAATCCTAAATTCCTAGTTGACTCACATTGGATGACTAGGGTATCCATAGTTGTCTTTAGTCTTATCCATACCAACTTAGGTTTTTCATTTTATTCTCTTGAGGTTATATTTAATTGTTCGCAAAAGAAAATTTTCTTGTTTTTCTTTTATAATAACTTTGCACATCCATTTCGACATTTTCATCTTGGCTACATATTTGTGTGTATTTCTTAATTTCCTAATTACTCCAATCCACAAAGCATGAATGACTTTATGAATCACAAAATTCTTGACATCTCAGACATTTCAAATACCCCATGTTTACTTTCTGACATCAGAACTCTTCATCTCATTAAATGTTACATGATACTAGATAAAAGAATTGTGGGCATCTGTGTCAATTCGTAACTATGTGTTCGATATTGTTCTTAGCATTGTGTTTATCTAGTCTTGTCCTACCAGTGATTTAAAAAGCGCTAGGCGTCAAAAGACGCCAAGGTCCAAAAACGCCCGAGGCGCTAGGCGCTCGCCCGAGCGAAACGAGACGTTAAAATATAAAAATATATAATATAATTAATATAATTATTTAAATAAAAAATATGCTATTAAATTAAGAAGATCGAATACAAAATCACAATGTCATATTAATAAAAAGTCTCAAAAATTAAAATAATAAAATTTTACATCAAATCTATTGAGTTGCTCTGTACACTTGCCATTTATTCTGAAACATAACAATAATTTTAAATAAATAAAAAATAATAGTGTTAAAATCAAAATAATATATTATTAATCTAATAAATAAAAATACTATTATTAGTATACAGTTAACTGTTAATATACTGTTAACAGTATAATGAGAAGAGTGTGAGAAGACCGAGGCTGCTAAGGCAACGACAATGGGAGCGGGAGCGACGAGCGATAGCGTGAGCGGGAGCTATGAGCGGCAGCGGGTGTGGAAGTGGGAGCGGGAGCTGCGAGCGGCAAGCGGCGACAACAACAATGAGCAACGATTGTGGCAGTGGCGAGTAGCGACAGTGGCAGTGGCAACAGAGAGCAACGACAACGGAGAAGAAATCTCGACAGCAAAATCGCGAGTGTTAGGGTTGGGGAAGTCGGAGAAATCGTGAGAGGGAGCCTATCGGTGATTTAGTTGGTTCGATTGAACCAACTAAAGCACCGGAGACTGAACCTGACGTAAAACACTGGTTCGGTCGCCTGGTTTAACCCGGGCGCTCGCCCGAAGCACCCGGCGCCTGGGCTCGGGCGAGCGCCTAGGCGG